TTTTCAAAAACTATACCTGACTTTAGATTTATGGGTTTTTTCGTGATATTAATTCGAATTTCATTTTACATGACCAGAAATTTTTTTTTTTTTAATTATTTTCTATTAATTTACTATACTCATTCATTTGAGTCATTCTTTAAAATCATTTTAATTACATCAAAATTCTTTTTTGAATGACCACATATCGAAATATTTCAGTGGCCTACTTTAATTGAAACTCCCTGTATATAAAGTATACGCAAAACACTTAACTGTACTTCGTGCCAATTTCAAAGGAAAGATCAATTATTTTTAATTGCATTAATGACAAATGGAATGAATTTCAATTTTTCTAAATTCAAATTAATAATTATAATAATAAGAATAAACCTTATAAATAAAAATACATTTGTATTCACATGATTGTTATAGAACGAGGAAGAAAATGTCATGACTGAATTGCGTCTTATTTTAAAATGGCATTTAAAAAAAATATAAATATAAATAAAAGTGGTGAAGCGAGGAGTAAGGGGGGGGGGGTAAATGAAAAGAGAACACATGAAGGCGTTTCTCTTGGAGAATATCCGCTTATCATACCGTTGGCATGATGATATAACGATGCCAATAAAAAAGGGAAAAATAAATAAAAATAAAAAAAAAAAAAAAAAATAAACAGAGTAGGTAGAGAAACGAAATACTTTAGGAAGAGTTATTCGCGTTTGCATCGACGTGATTCGTTGCTTATCTGTGTGAGATGAGAGGAGGTAGTAGGCCAGCACCATATACGGTTCCTTCGTTCGTGCTGCTACTGGTGCTGTTGCTGTTGTTGGTTGCTGGCTTGCTGTTGCTGTTACGGAGTGCTTGACCATTGGCCGTTCGGAAAAAAGAACAAGAAGACGGATACAGGTTCGTGGCGGAATCGCGAACGTCCCTGTGTTGCGTGCATGCGTGCACAAATAGCTAACTATATACGTATAGTAAATATATGTGTGCATGTGTATTGGTTCGAGAACCTGGACCACTTTGAAAATGTCGAAATATTAATGTTCTCTTCGATTAACACTTATCGAGCTTCCTTCTTTCCAGGCTCTTATTCGAAAAAAACATCTCAGTAATCCTTGCGAAAATATACACGACTGCCGAGTGGTAATATGCTGGCCGAAATTGTTAAGAGATCACTGCGTGTATGTACTTATATCTCTTGGAGAAAGAAACAGATTTAATAAAGTATTCCAAAATTGCTTTTAATAGTTCTAAGGTCTCTAGGTTTTAACTGCATATGGGCCTTTTCATTCATAATTATTTCATTTCTTTTATTTTTAAGTATTTATATTTGTCGGAATTATAACTTAAATATGTTGTTAAACTATGTTGATCAAATATTGATAATAACTAAACTAAATAATTAAAACTCATTTTAAAAGGGATTTAATAGTTAAAGTTACTGTTTTGCTTAAAATGGGTTTCATTTATAAGCCTAAGGTTTAAATATATTTTGTAAACCATGGAGATTAAATAGATAAAAATGAACTAAAAATAGATCTTAAAATTAAATTAAACAATACTTTATTTCATTTGGTTAGAAAATTTATCCTTCAAGTATAAGATTTAAGTACATTGTTAATAAGATTAAATAAATATAAAACATAATAAAAAAGAAAATAACTTTTAATAGTAAACAATTATAGTTATTAATAAAAAATGCATAACTGAGAATCGAGCCTTTAAAGTCAATGCTTTATATATATGTATTTTTGTATCTCTTTAAAAAAAAAAGGAAAAGGAAGAAAGAAGGAATGTTTGAATAAAAACGAAAGATAAACATTGAGGAAGTAGGCTCTTTAAAGCGAAAAAACCAGCAAAAAAATGTCTTCCATCTCATTTTCATCTTTCTCATTCTCTCCCTCTTTCTTTTTATTTTCCTTTTTTTCGTTTTCTTTCTCTATTCTCATCTTCTATATTTCAGACGCGTGCGCAAATCATGAAACAGATGGAAACCACGTGTTTCACTAATACATTGTCATGCTATACTGGTATTCTAGCAACTTTTTTAGTTAGTTGGAATGATGACAAACAAAACGAATGGTTCATTCAGAATTTTATATTTTATAATATGTTAGACCGATTTCCGTAAGGCTGTTATTTATTGGTCCAGTATTTTTAAATATCTTTTTATATTTAATATTTCATTAAATTGACGACTCTAAAATTTAAACATATTTTCTAAGCAATCAAAATTAAAGTAAAATGAAAATAAATTATATTAAAGTAAATAAATAAATGGAGATATTTTTACATTTAATCGAACAATTATACCGAACGTAGATACGTGCATTCGATACATATGTATTATTCATATATTAATTCAAGATCGTAGTAAATCGTGGGAGCGTGTGTAGGTGAGAAATTGAAAACTGGTTTCGAGTTTGCATCTTGCAGAGATGAGACGAACCAGAATCGAGACGTCACTCACTCAGATCAATCTCTCTCTCTTTCTCTTTTTCTTTCTCTGTTTCTGTTCTGTTCAACATAGTCGATAAGAACGAATCCTTCGAGATAAGACGTCAGTTTGAAGAGTATCTTCTATGAAATATGTGTGGGAGCGATAACCACGTAAAAAAACACAGAGAAAAAAGAGAGAAAAAGAGAGATCATTCGTGTTAACACTCTTCGAGTTTTGTGTGTTTCGTCCGTTAGGTGTTTCTCTTTACGAAAGAAAAAGAAAACAAGACTTTTAGACGAATGAAAAGTTTATTCTTTGTAGAAAAAGTGAATCTTTATTTATTATATGTAATTCTATTTAAAAAACGCAAGTTTATCTTTACGTGTCCGCTTTCAAGAAAATTTTTAATATTAGATAATGTGTTCTTTTAAATCATTTAATTCTTGTTTAATACATTTTTTTCTATCATAAACAGTTTCGAAGATATTTAATTGATTTAAATGGGACACCTTGTATATATATATTTACTTATTCTTAGTAAATATTTCCAATGTAACATAAAAAAGTTTATACTGAACATTTTATAAATCAAACTAAAACTGATAAAAAATATGAGTACTTTGTTGCTTCCGTTGCGTAATAATCGAATGTAAGGAGAAAGATCTAATACGAAGTTTCGTTTCTCACGAATCTAATCTTGAGGGAGGGACAGATAAGATTTTCTATGAAATATACCTATCACGTCTGTCTATGGGGATTTCAGAAGGAAAAGGAGAAGAAAGAGATGAAAGGGGTGTAGAAGATACAGGTGAAAGAAGGAAGGTAAGGTTTCTTTATAGTGAGAAACGGCGTAATTACTACGGTCGAAGATCGATGATATAAGAACAAAATGAAAAAGGGGAAACGAAGAAAGGGGTAAAAAGTGAGAAAAAGAAAAAGAAAGAGAGAGAGAGAGAGAGAGAGTGCGTGGCAGGAAGTGGCTAATGCTAACGGATACTGTCCTCGATATCTATGTGCATTAATGCCATAATCCTATTACGATACTGAAATACTCCTATAATACCACATGCCCCATAGGCTAGAAAGAGATTAGGATCGCACAAGTCATGAGAATCGAGTCTCGTTTATAACCGTCGTCTATTTAACCCATACGATGAAAATCATAAAAATGTATAAATATGTATTTCTATATGTGTACATGTGTAATACATACAGTGATGAAGAAAACTATTGGCACAGATTCAATTCTGCTTATAACATATTCTGCAAATTTTTATAAAGTATAATTTATTCCAAATTTTTGTAAAATATAATATATATCTCAAATGTTTTAATTATTAATAATTTATTTGGTTATAGTTTTTTCGCTCTTCTATTCGTATAACGTAGATCGTATATCTCGCGTTATACTGTATTCTTAAATTTCAAATTCATAAGATAAATTTTCAAAAAATAAAATCCTATTATTTTGAATAGTACAAAAGAGTCTAAAACAAAATGAAATCTGCATCAATATTATTATTCGATACTGTACGTATTATAAATCAAGTTACAAATTTTGAACGTCGACGGATTATTGATTTATATTCTAAGATTTATGGATCTAAGATCTACAATGCAATCTTTATTGAATTGAATCTAACATTTTGCTAGGAATTCGCAATAGATACTTGTTTGATAGTTCAATTTAGATTATTTCAATCTCTGTCCGAGTCTCTCGTTTTGTTTCAATGTTCCTATATTAAATCGATTGAAAGTCTGACAGCAAATCGATCCCACATTCTCAATACGATGACCATATCGTTGTCGATTAACTTTCTTACAAGTGTACGAGGTCGTTGTTGAATTAATAGCGAGAAATATATCTTTCTCTTTCTCTCGTTTAATCGTCCAGTTATTTTATTAAGGTATATACGTATACATTGCATACATGTTTGTGCATATATAACAAAAGAAAAAAACATTCAAAATAACGAACAAAAAAATAAGTATTTATTTTTAAATAAAAATACTAATAAAAAATAAAACTAATAAAAAATTTGCTTCACGCAATTTGCTATTGTTTAAAATTAAATTTTGTTGTTTCTAGTGCTAATTGAGAAAAATAAAAAACAAAGACTGAGTAAATAAATATAAATAGAACGTAAATCATTTCTTCTTCGCGCGATTACATACTTGAATAAACATTTACGATCCATTCTTTTGCAAAGCATTACGAAGGAAGACAATGATAAAGATAAAGATAAAAATGAAGAGAAGAATAAATCCTTTCTACCAGTCGCAAGTCCGTCATCCACGTCCAAGCTTATTCTCTTATTCTTACTTATTTACTCTCTCTTTCTCTCTAACGAGATAGTAAAACCATAACTAATTATACCCACGCGCACCTTAAGGACGCCTTCACCCGACTCGTTAAATCGTATCACGTGACAAAGGAGCGCCAAATAGTCCTACGCTATTTTTAATATAACGCGATACTTTATCTATTTCATTTTTTCGTTAAATTTCTACACAATTTTCCTTAATAAATAAATAAATAAAAAAGTCAACATTAGAAACGTGGTAATTTACTTACCGGTGAAATCTGCTCCAAGTCGTTTACAAATCTCCAACTTCCGTTGAGTCGTTGAAAACTTCCACGCTATCTTGCATGTTGTTGTTCACGTTCGACTTTGATTTTCATCATTTCGTATTAAACCTTTTTTCTAAAAAAATAGGAAAAAAAAAACACTGCGGAGAAGTTTCTTAAATAAATACAAAATACGCGTCACGCCATTTCACTGTGATCTTTTATTCTTTCTTGTCTTTTTATACACCTTATTTTCTTTTTATTACTCCTTAATTATATATAATACACGTACATATACTTATGTGAGTGTTTGTTTTGTTATCTTTTCTTTTTTTTACAGAATCACGTGCTGAAATTTTGTATTAATAGGAGCAATAAAAAATTGAGAAAAGGAGTTCTGGTTTGTTTACACGACGGGAAGAGTTATAGAAGGGAGGGGAACAACGCAACCTTGAGGATTTACACGATTTCGTAGTACTACTACACTCCGCCATCCGAAGACTGACTGAAGCCTCGTGATGGTGTGAGCCACGAGTACGCCAGTTTACCACTCCACCAACCTCTCTTCTTCTCTCCCTTCTCTTTCTTTCCTCAACCGGCCGGTGTCCTCGGTTGTTTCCTTACACACTCTCTCTCTCTCTCTCTCTCTCACCCTCTCTCACACACACTCCATCTTCCTCTCTTTTTTTCGCTTTCTGTTCTATTTCTTTTTTTCTTTCTCCCTCCCCCTACTTCTGTTACTCGTATAGCCTATGAAAGTAAAGGCGAACAGCCTATCTCGAGGAGGAGAAGCACTTTTCAAGTTTGCCGCGGTCGCCGCTAGGTCGTCGCCACTCGTTGGCGCTACGATCGTACTTGCCAATCGTATCGTACGATCGAAATATCGTATAAGGTTATGGCGGTTATTTTAATTTCTAAATCATTTCATTATTCTATTCAGTGTTTTTAAACATTTAGAATCAGTATTTGTAATAAAATATTGTTATATAAGGGAATAAAATTCATCGGTATTACACCTTTTGATATAAAACTTCTTAATAATTGCATTATTTTACATATTTCTGATTTATATTGTGACTGATATTCTGATTATAGTAATATTTTAAAATTTATAGATATTGAATTATAGCATTTATTCGTTATATTCCCTCGTTATATCCGTCATTTATATGTTAATATTTCTTCTACAATAAGTAAATACACACTTAAATTGATTAAAAATGTAAAATTAATGTATCTCTTTATTTCTATATGAAAACATAATCTATAATATATAAAACTCCTTTATATCCTAACATATACTCTGACATATTTATTTTAGAAAATAGTTATCAAAAATCTTTAGAAATACTATAAAAAGAAAACTAAGAAATATTTTGTTACCAAATGAAAGAAGTGGAATTGTAGAAAAATCAACCCTCATCTATCCAGCCCTTCCTTCTTCATAAGAAAACAGTAGCTGTCATTCATCCGAAGACTCGTCCTATCTCAAGGCTATAGTCCATCAAGGACGATAGGTCTCCTCTACCGACTCCACACGATTGAGCTCCTTTTATTCCATCTTCCTTTTACTCCCTCTCCTATCAGAAAGAAAGAGGGAGGGCAGAAAGCATGATTACGCGTTTACGAGGTGGACCCACCTCGAGCTACTACCTGCCTTCATAAGAAAAATACGGGAATGGAAGGGAGAAAGGGTTCAAGGACGAGAGGTAGAAGAGGCCGTTTATTATACGTATTGCGGGGTAAGGGAGATCGATGCGTACCATCTAAAAAAAAATACAATAAAAAAGGACTCTCGTACGAGGAGATGTGGTTTCGTTCGTCCCGTATAATCCCGAATTCAGAACCTGTTTCTGGCCCGTGGGTCAACAACGAAACTTACTTCTGTCTTATTTCTTTCTCTTTCTCTCTCGAATATCGAGCTTACCACTCGTCGTAGGAATTCTCTTAGCTCGTTGAGTGGCTCCTCTCGAACAGTAGTTACGCTACTTTCGACGGCTTTATGACTCTATTCTGCGTTCCAACGGGACGTTGAACAACTTCGAGCTACGGCATGCAAACACTCTCGTAGCTACAACGAGAAGCAATAATAGCACGTGTCCTTGCATTTATCTACTTTCCTTCTACGATGTTGGGAGTTATCAAAGATACTGCACTTTTCAGGTGCATGTAAGTATACCAGATCTATTTACATATATTCTATATACGTAGAATCTATAAAAGAAGGATTGGGAAATAAAATGTATAGAAAGTATGTATACGGTAAGTTTCAGGAGTAATTGTTTAAAGGATTATTAAAGGATTATTAAACTTTTAATTTCATAGAAATTTGATTAGAAAACAGTATTTTACTACTAGAGAAAAATAATTTTACATAAATAATAACTAAATTTGTTTCACTAGATTATTCGTGCATACACAAAATCTACACCTTCTTTGCATTTTATAATATTTTTAAGATCGTTAGTCATACTTTTTTAGACCTATTTTCTTATCATTCATGCAAAATTATACTTCTTTTAGCTATAAAATTTTTATCAATTTCCAAGTTTAATAATCTTAAAAAAATATGTTTCTGTGTATAAGAATCTGAAAACATTGAATTACAAGCAGATATCAATCATTTGAAATTTATAGTGAAAATGCATACGAACTGTGACTCATTATATGTAAATTTACTAATAATCTATGTAATAGTCATATACGCGTCAGTCGTCATTTTATTGTTAAAATAAAGATGTGAACGGTCCAGTGGAAGATAAGTATTCGAATGGATTGCATTCATCTCTCTCCTTCTCTTTCTTTCTTTATCCTCCTTTCAGATCCTCTTATCCTTAATCGGCTTGACGAAGCGCACGGGTCGTTACCAGGCACGAGCTAAAACCCTAAAGGGAGCACGGAACCAATGATTGTGTTCAGGATCGAACATATTGCGAGAAATAGAAGAACAAGAATATGAAAAAGAAAAAAAGAGAATTCTAAAGTGTTAGAGCGCAACTGTGTTATAGGATGCCGTGTTGTAGGAGAGTTCCCGCAATTTATGGATCGCGTTATAGCGAAACCGTGTCATAGGATTCCCTGTTTCGAAAGGGTTACCTGTACCTTGCTTTCGCAAATTACTATCCTTTTCCATATTTCTATCTTCTTCTCTATTTTAATATGTGACAATAATGAAGTAAGTTCTACAAAATTGGTGTTGTCGGAAAATATGTATTTTTACTAGACAATGATCTCAAGTATGCGGCCACAATTGTAAGAGAATGTGACTATTGTGTAATATACCCCAACAAAGTCGAAAATAATTAAAATAATTTAAAAATAAGTAGCCACTACTCAGGGGTGCTTTCAATACGCTAAAGTAAGAACAAAAAGTTATATAATCATAGGCCCGATATGACTTCGTTTTCGAATTATACTCAATTTTATATTCTAAATACTTGTCGTTAGATCATTTTTATACAAACTTCACCTTGAATAAATGCTTCCATACGTCTTATCATTAAAAGAATATTGTTTAGACAGTATAAAAGAAAGTCGTACATGAGATAAGAAATTTGCTCATAATAGTTGAAACAAACAGTCATTAAAGTTATATAAAATACAGACAGACAAAAATAACTATAAATCGAAAACTAGCTATTCTATCGGGCTTGTGATTGCATGAATTTTGTTTTATTATTTTAGCGTACTAAAAACACCCTTTTAGTTATGCTCACATTTTTTTAAATGCTTTGTATATACTTGCTTATACTCGTCTTACGATAATTTAATAGTCAATGTTCAGCAACTCGTATATTAAACTAATTTCTTTCTAAAATACATACACATTCTTACATATCTACCTACTATAACATATGTGTTCGATCATGCAAATATGATTCATGCTTGTCCATGAACAGAAGTGAACAGAACAGAATGGAATGGAATAGAACGAGGGAAAGATAATTATTTTTTCACGATCCGTAGTGATAGTACTATTACGTCATGACACCATGTGTCATGACAGTATGTGTGGACACTCGGAAGTTGATCATCTTGCAACCTGTATAAACAATTATTTTCTTTAATTATTTTCGTATAGCAAATGCAGAGTAAACAAGTGCATAGACGCGAGTATTAAACTTAGTACAGTTTCAACGACAGAATATCAAACTAAGATAACCTAACACTGCCAGCAGGCGAGAAGATATAGTAGTATTAGCGAAGTATAAAGAGTGTTGGTGCATTGCGTTGTAGCGCATTCAAAGTTTCCGTGCAGTTGTATTCGCGTCGTTGATACGTAACCGCGTAAAAGCACGTATTCGAATCTTTCTACCGGTTTTACCGGCAATCATTTAAAAACTTCATTCCACGAATTGTTTAATTCTCTTTTTGTTGTTATTATACAATAGAGAGGGAATACTGATGATGACATACGCAAAATTATTATTTGCGTTTGGAATTTGGATGATTTTGTGAGTGTATTTTCTACTTTTTCTTCTATATGGCTAACTATTGTACAACATTATAGTACATTATTGCGCACCATTAACATTCATTTCACTGTCGTAATCGTAAAAACGAAAAAAATGTTGCAGGGCGAGTGTAGGTCAAACTAACGATTGGTTGTACGGATTCAACATGGATTTGAGCAAATTTCAACAACAAATACAACAAGGTGTTCATAATCTGCAGAAAAATATACAAACTAGTGTAGCTAAAACTTTAGCTGATGTTGATAAGGTTACTTCGAAAATTCAGGCGGATGCGGCAGAGGCTGCTAAAAATGGTAATTTCATTGTGGATTTTTATGCAAAACAATATTTTGATATGTACAATAATTATTATTTTGCTTACTGCATTTTGCATATGTTATGTATATTTTAATCAAATAGCTTATGTCAATTATATGAGCTGTTTACATGCGAAAGTGATTAATTTTTTTTTAGGATTTTTTTTTCATTTTAGTGTCGAAAGAGTCACACAACCAAATAAAAACTATATTTTTATAGTTTATATTTTATACAAATTTTTCTCTTAATAACAAGTCTTCATATTTTTTAATATGACAAATTGTTTTCTCTGTTGTATAGTAAATAATATAACAATGTAATAGCAGTAAATTTATTGTTCGAAATTTACACATTTTTTGTAATAATTAATTTAAATAGTTATTAACAACAAAAAACATTAATGGTCAAGAATAACTATTATAAATTACAGTACTAAGTTTAGTTAACAATAATGTAAATTGTATTTCAATAACTCACTATATTTATTAAGTAATATGTTTCAAATGACAAAATATGTGATTCTAGCGTAACTTTTCAGATATAATATTCAAATACTTGCAAAAATTAATAATATTTATTTACTTCTTATACTGAAAAAAATTTTGTTTATTCATTTATTTAATTTTTTTTTCTTGACTAATAAATTCTTTTAAAATGAGTTAAAACTAGTTTAAATTAAACATGAATGACTTCTTTTCATATTGTTAATAACTAAGCAAATACAGAGTATAATGTCTATATAAAATTCATTACAAAAAGTCTCATTATAAAATATTAATGCATAAATGTGTTTATCAAAACCTGTCTAAGAGCATTTAGAATTTCAAAATAACCTTTCTTATCTTTAACAGTTTAAGATAATAAAAATTAACATATTTATACTATATAAAACATTACTCGAATTTATAAACATTTATCAATATTTTATATATATAAAGTAAAATTTCAACAATAATCCTTAAATGGGTTACAAAAAAACCAGCTTGTATAATGAAATCAAAACGTAATACTGAAAGCATTACTCGCAAATTCAAAATTATCTAGTAAAAATTGAAATTCTACTAAAATGTATATTTTACGAATTTTACTCATTAAAATTCACAGTTTTTTTTTTATTAGATAATCATTTTAAAATTAATTGAAATCCTGATTACTCTTGATCAATCTCGTTATCATAATGAAGATTCGACTTTAGGAGAATGAAAAATGAAAGAGATCCTTTCACTATCAACCGAGACCGCACGATCGATTCAAGGTTGCACGACGTGAACCGATCATTGGCGACCTCTTTTCTATCTTCAAACTTTGATAATATCAAAGAAATCTCGATTTAAAGTCAAGAACTTTTATTACCTACTTACCATGATTTTCTCGTAATATCCTGGAGGTGTCTGATATTCCTTATCTTTCGCCAAGATCTTTCTACGAATCACAATTCTATGTGTGATTTATACTTTAACGCACGGAACTTTGTAAACCTGACCGATACTCATTGTCAGACTTTACTAACCTTTTACTGGAAACGTTTATAACCTTTGTTAACTACTATTTACGAGATCGTAATCGTCAAGTATAATGAGAAATCTTTTCTCAAACCTTTATTCTCCTGATTTCATCTTGTTCGTGTCATATAAAAGAATCATTATCAAATTAATTTCATTATTTAATAATGAATTTCTCCAAATATTGTAGTACTAACCTGAGACTGTCTCATATTACTACCAATCTGCCATGTCACTTTTCTTATTATATTATAATCGAAACAAAAACAGACAGGAAATACTAATTTTTCTTAAATCAAATCTCAAGCTATTAATTGTTTTGCAAATAATCAATTAATTTGTTTTTTTGTTTTTCAGGAAATTATGGCAGTGTCATTAGTATAGACAATGGGGGTACGTTTATTTCAAGTGGTGGCTCTGGAACAATTATCAGTAATGTTCCGGGTTTGTCCAAAATCATAACGTCAGGAAATCTTCCAAACGGTGACCCATACGTCCGTGAAATTGAGGAAAAAATCATAGACAAAGTTCTTTATCATACCGAGAGGTTCTACAATAAGAAGACAAAGAAAGACAAGATAACCGGCTATACTCTGGACCTTAATGATCCGAACGCTGAACCCGTCCCGTTCAACAATCGCTCCTAATATTATCCTGACGAGGTTGCTAAATATGCCTGTAATTATGACACTCGATGTAATTCAACAAATTCATTCGAAGATTTATTTTTTTAAATATAAATTAGAAAATTAATTTTTTCTTATTTAGATTAGTCGAGGGGTTTCTAACATTTTGGTTTTTTTGAGCCACATTTGAAAGTAAATTGTATCGTGTAGTACACAAAAAATATAACCATTCTAACGATAGTTGCAAAGCAAAAATGTTTAGTAAATATTGTACGATACGATTTTATGAAATGACGGTTTTTTTATTGTGACACATTCATTAAAGATAGTCTACGTACGTCCCACGAACCCTAGGCTGGACAGTTCTGTGAGTTAGTTCATTGTCATAATTACTAGCATAAATAATTGTCTTACTTATTTTAAACCAGAAAGAGAAAGAGTACAAGAATTATTGTTACCCTTCTAACTTAATAAATACTTTTGGTTGTGCTTTTAATGTTAAACGCAAAATAAAACAAAACAAAAAACAGATTATAATAAGAACTATTAATAATTAAACAGTGAAAAGATGTTGTTTTATTCTTTTAATTGAATTAGATCATTTATCCTCATAAATAAATGAAATTGTTTATCCTTTTGAATAAACTAGAGGTGCTATGTATGGTATATGTTACCGGCGAAGTGGGAAATGCCAGGCGTTTTTCGAAACAGCACAAGTATTAACTTGTACAGCGAGAATAAAATCAACCACCTAATATAATAATTACAAGTAAAACTTTAAATTTATCATATTTATATTTTTTATTTGCCTGAGAACCTAGCCAAGGTATGCAAGTAAAATATACTTTTTTTTTCTTTTAAAATACTCGGATTACTCTACTTCTAATCCAACTTAAATCTTATATACGAAAAAATAAAATTGAAAGAGAAAAAACAAGGGCCAGTAAAAGGAAGTAAAAATTACAATTGTAAAACTAAAAGTTTAAGGAGATAAGAGAAAGAAAGAAATACAAAACCGGGATAACTTATCCTTCTAATTAGTGATTCCGTTTTCATAAATATGCAAGTGGTTTTTGGCATGGTCGAAGCACCACTGTCGGTTAAAGGTTCGAAGACGTGAGAAAAGACGTCGAGTGGGAAGGGGTGCCGGACGTAAATTTGTTAAAAAGAGAGAAGGGCCGAGGTAATAAAGAATAGCGCGTCGCCAGGTGGAACGGTGTGCAAATTACAAGAGGAGGGTATTACGACGAGATCTCCTTTCGATGGGACGCGAAAACAAGACCGTAGTCGGGCTAAGTTTTTCAAATGCAGACATTATGCATTTCAAACAAACGAGCGTGAAACCATGGGCGTAGTTTTAATGAAAGAAACTCATTTTATTTGTAATTTTCCATTTTATATATTTATAGGGTAACGAAAAAAAGGGTTCAACAATTTAAGGGATTATAGTTGGCTAGTATTCGCCAACACTCATTGTTTTAATTAGTATTTTAAATTAAATATTAATAAAGTTACTTTGGAGATATTCCTATACCAATCAATTTTACACAAATTTTTATCAAAACGAACCAAATGATCCATCTTCAAAAAGTCATATATTTTACTATGTATGTATAAGAACAAATTTATACTCATAAAATAGCATTATAACATGAAATGGTCAAACTAAAAGTGAAATGTAACATTGTGGTAAGTGTTAATGTTAAACTCGCGCTATTTCATTATTATTCTTTTAATTTTCTACTTTTATTTATTTGGACAGTATTTGTAAACATTTATTGTCGTGTTCTAGATAATAAATGCTCAACATATACATAATTCTTCTGTTCAGTATAAATAATATTCATAAGTATTATAAATAGATAGTCAATATTCTTAATAGAGACAAGATTGCGTCATAATCGCGTTGGGATTGTGTTAGGGATATAACAAAATTACGTCAGAGTTACGTAAGTGTTACTCATCAATACACAATATATTATATTGCTATTTTATTATTAATACTAAATATAACAGTTTTTTTATTAATCGATATAAATGTTAATATTCAATTGTGATATTAAATTATAGGTAATTATACTTATATATATAACAAATGCGGTATATTTTACACTAGCCATTTTCTTATAATTGCTGTCGCATGCTGTCGGGCTTATTGTCTAGCTAGAAATACACATTTCTCGACAACGCCAATACTGTAAAACTTACTTTGAAATTGTTTTGTCAAATATTAAAATAGAAAAGAAGATAGGAATATGAGATACCAAAGTATTTGATCTTTACATAATTTGAATAAGTTTGATAAAGGTAGTATATTATATATATTATATGACGACTGAATCAATCTGTCTAGAAACGGTTCTTGATAGACATCGGTTATTTGTTTAATGGACGTTTTGCGTTACGCTTTACATATAACATCCTACAAATTAATCTGATTTTGACTAATTCTGATATTTATTAATTTGTATTAATTCTAACACACTTTCTACATAACGCAATAGCAATAAATCACTTAATAGGAGGGTTGACTAATTATTTGAACGAATAACAGTTTTTTTTCTCTCTTGATCTCTTTTTATCCCAATACTCGTTAATTCATATGAGATGTTAATCGCGGTGTTCATTTTCATGGTAGTCTCAGGATCTCACTCGTTCAAGTTGTCCTCGCTGTAACATTCGGGTTGAGAGGAAAGGAATGGAAAGTACAAAAAAGGTACGTTTCGTTAGCTTACGAACAGAGTCTTTACGATTATATATTCTCACATGTATACATATACATATATACTTGCCAAATGAGAGAAGCAAAGAGAGTCGAAGTCAAGGGATATATATGGGGTGCCTTAAATGGTAATGCCCCCAGCTCTGCCCTCAATCGCGATCTCAACGGATTTCTCCTTATCTCTTTCTCTTTCTCAGTCCCCATGAACTTCTTAAGTATACTTGCGTTCATGCGTTCTCTTCTCTGATATCTAACGATCGACTGAGATTCCAATAGAAATATATCTTCAAGATTAATACAAAACAAACTACAATCCTTTACATACTTTTCCTTAAGAAATATTGACATTATGTAGTACTTAATTTTTTTGGATTTTTTTCAATTCATCTGGTATTGTAATATTTTGTTTTATTTTTCTTAATTTGAACCAAGGAAGTTAAAGGATTCGACATCCTGTTTTAAATAGAACTTACAATTAGATGATTTCATTGAATGGTATCTTTTCTGGTTGCTTTCAACTAATTGAAACGTAGGTTAGGAAGTACTTACTTATCTAACCTAACGGTAAATGTTGTGTTACAAGAGCAAAATGGTCAGACGGCCTCTATATGGGCGAGAACGACGTACCGTACATGTGGGTGATGACAATTTTTCACGGACGACACAAACCAGATAACGCAACCGAATAAAATACACTATTATTGTATAAAATTATATATATATATATATTTTTTAGTTTTTAGAAAAAGTATTCTTAATTCCATGAGTTCATCAATTGTATCGGGAAAAACTTGATGTTGCAAAGACAATATAGAATGGAAAAATCCTAAATCCAGATCGTTTAAATCATTTTATCTGTTAGGATAGGTTTAACGGTAAAGTATTTGCGCTTAAAATCCTTTCTCTCCTTAAAGGGACATTTTTAAGTTTAGCTAAATTTTTAGAATAAGCTTACATTTTTGTCCCAAATTTTGGTTATTTAAAGGACCATTTGAAATCTTATTAAAACAGCATGCTTCTGCTGTTGGCGTATTAGTACGTGTCCCGCATACAACGTGTCAAGTTTCCTAATAATACGTTACCACTGTTCACATTTGTTTTTGTTTTCAGATTTCTGCTAATCTGCGCGTATTCTGTTAGAATAAAGAAATATAGGACAGTAAAGGAGAAAGAGGAAGAGCAGCCAGCAGCAGTAGCAGGATTAGGAGGAGAATGAGTAGGAGAAGGATGAAGTGGAATAGGGGCTTGGGGGGTTAAGCGGGAGATTGTATAGGTATATCTGTGAAGTAAGAGCTTGAACGCAGCGTTCTAAGCGCATGAGACTTTAAGAGGAGGCAATGAACTGAACAGGTATGTGGGTGATGTCCGTTTAGAAAAGAAGACTCGATAGATTTATACGTTAGGTACTACGTATTCGAGCACGAATGGCTCTTTCTCGTCTCCTCCCATATTTTTCTTTTCAACTCGACTCGTTTCTCTTCTTTCTCCGTCTTTCTTCTTTTATCCGTCTATATCCCCTATGTATATGTGTATATATGTTTTCTTCTTCTTTTTTCTGTTTCTCTTTATATAACTCTTATAACGTTCCGCTTTAACGACAAGAAAAGTCGGCGCGGTTAATGAAACGTCAAATGGAATCAAATATTTCTCAAGTTACGGTATGCTCATTTTCGTTTTATCTTTCGTTGTCATATTATATAATACAATGCGATCATTTTCAAATTTGTTATCATACCTTTCGATTTGTAATCGAAAATGTAATTTATTATTAAACTGACAATAATCATTTTTTATGTCAAACCAAACAATGTTTCTATATTTTTCAATATTTTTTCGTATTTAAACATATATACCTGAAATATTTGTACCAATATAATTATAACAATAAATTAGGATAAAAAATTAAAAAAATCTATCATAATTACATTATATAGACAATTATAATCTTTATTTAAGAAAAACTAAAATTTATTTGATTACAAAAATTAATATTTTTGGGCACCTGTCACTTAGCAAAAAGAAATGTTTCTATGTATAGCCGGTTGCATATATTACAGGCATTACTATTTAAGCTTGGGTTTACTGATATTTTAGTGTTGTCGTTCGTGGTTCACTAGCGCGTTCGGTACTTTGCTATCTTCTCCTTCGACATCGTTTAAATTCTTCCAACCATCGTCGTACACTTCCAACGACGACGATCAGAAAACGAGTGTTTAGGATGTCAAATTTAAAGAAGATCTTCGGTTCAACGTCATTAACGATGTTCCTCTTTGCCATTCGATGTAATCACTGCCTTCCTATCGATCAACAAAATCTTACGTGTAAGTATCCTGTTTTTTAAAAATATTGCTTTAACAAATTTTTTTTTTTTTAAATTTTGAAACTCTAATCAACAATTTATGGGTTAATTTTGTACCGCAAATTTGTATCTAAATAAACGAATAGTTCAATCGTATATCTTTAATCGAATCAGAATTATTTAAACCGCATCCAAGTTTAATGCAAGCAAGTGCCCAATAATTTATGCATTAGATTCGATTGCGCAACAGTGACGCAACGATGCTGTTGTATAAAAAGGATAAAAGTTTTGGCATAGAAATTCTTCCAAATACGACTTTTAAATATATTCAAATAGAGTAAAAACAAAAAATAAAGAATTGGAAATCAATTGAATGCAGGCATCACAAATTTGTCGGAAGTGTAAATGTTTCAACACTGTTTTGAGAGAACATGTTTTCTCGATAAAGAAAAATTTGGAGAATCTAAACACTGAAGGGTTATTTAAAGTGTTTTTTTATGTTAAAGAATTCTTTTTCGATTCTGTATCGTAATTTAATCATGAATAATTTTATTATTCGGTCATTGTTGAGCTTGATTATAATAGTTTAATCAATTGTTTCTTAAAACAGTACAGAAAATTAACAAAACATAATTTGTTTATTAATTATCAAATTTTTAAATTATTGATATCGATTGTAATAATTACTCTTGAAAAAAAAGATGGAGTCGCATTCTTTTTTTTTCTGTAATAAAATTTTAAAACGTATTGTATTTCTTCTTTATTTTCACTTATTTTCGGGACATAAATATTTATGACTGAATTAACAAATATCATAACTTTTTTGTTTAATTAGTTTATGATATTTCAAACGCACCTAAATATTGCCAAATCCTACTAATTTTAAACAAGTTATGCGTTCTTAAAGTCATCTACCAAGAAAATACGGGCGAAGAAATTTTTTACTTAACTTAATATTAAAAATGTGAAATAATTTGTGGATTTGTAGATATTAAAAATATTATTATTCATCTTATTATTAAATTTATATAAATTATAAACAATTGAGTGGCTGAAAAGGATAGGAATACAAGTAACAATTTCAAAAAATTTAAGATAATACACTATATAGTAGAAAATAAAAAATGTAAAATTCCAATAACTTAAAAGTCTAGTTTGTAGTTAGACAGTTATCTAAAATGAAAAAAAAAATACTATTTTTACTGGTTTTCTTTTTCTGTCACTCAATTCTAAATGATTGTTGTACTAACCTAATACTAATGCAACATATTATTTTAAGATCCGAATGGAGAACTGATCAACACACTTGTATATACAAATTTTCCAAGAAAATATGTAAACGATCAAGATTACCCTGAAAAGAAGGTTAAACTTTTATTTATACGGTATCACGTATAATGTAATTATTACAGAATGTATAGCAAAAAAAGAAATTTTCTTACTTGTTTCAGATTTACAAAATCTCCCAAGCTTGTTTGACATTAACTAGAAAAGAAGGTCAATGTAAACTAATTAACGAATGCGTACACAACAACATGCACTTCAATTTGAATCAATTTTTAAATTATACATGTATTTTTAATAGCACGTAAGTTTTTGCTTTCCAAAACTTCCTTAACTTTAACTTTCCCACTGAAAAAGATATTTTTCGTAGGGAACTTGGAATTTGTTGCTCGAATGAATCACCAAGTTCATCTAGTTTGTCACTTGTGGATAGTTTGGTTGTTCCATTACCTGCAGTAGCAAGTTTCTATACCGAAAATGGAAATAATCCAGGTAGAGATACAAAATGTGAAAAGTTTGAAAGTCCATATTCTATTTTTTTTTACTTTTTTATTTGTTTTTTCCTTGGAGAAAACAAGGACAATTTAACATAATAAATGATAATATTGTGATCAAATAATATGATAACTTATCAAAAGGATTCTATTCGTTGGGTCAGTATATATATTACAAAATCAATATGAAGTAAAAGTGTTCTTTATTAAAGAATATTCAGAAAAAATGCAGAAAAATCAATATTAATTTATAAAGAAGTGTCAATTTGTAAATAGATTGTCAGTATTACAACCCAACCATAACAGCCTATATTTATCCTAAATACTATTTATCTGTTAAAAATATTAAGAAAAATTGTATTTATACTGACTATTTATTGAATAAAATACTCATTCAATATATAGAAATATCTAAAATGTATGTAGTATCAATTTCCTATACGAAATAAAAATGATTAATAAATATATTTAAGAATACTTGAGAGATAATTTCTATTACAGGTATTTAGTAATTTACCTAGAATTGAAGTTTATTATTTAAAGATAGCGAAGAGAGAAGAAAAGGTAGAGGACATAGAGGATGTGGAACGAACATTAAAAGTGGTACTAGACTCGTAGGTGGACGACCGGCTGATCCTCGCGAATGGCCTTGGATGGCAGCATTACTTAGAAAAGACGCGGTTCAGTATTGCGGAGGTGTTCTCATCACGGACAGACACATACTCACAGCTGCCCATTGCGTTCGAAAGTAAGTCGTGAATGTCGTGAAGACAACAAATCTTGCCACGAGTCCAGTCAGTTACTGTTACTCGACTAGGTGAGATTTATGACGACAATCTTCTCCTTTATCAGTTTCAAGACACGAGACATCCGTGTTAGATTGGGTGAATATGATTTTACCAGAACCGATGAAACCAGAGAGTTGGATTTTGCAGTTGTAGAAATTAGAGTACATCGGGATTTTGATTCAACCACTTATGAAAATGATATTGCTATTATCAAGATACATCGACCTACGCCTTTCAACAGTTACATTTGGCCAATCTGTTTACCGCCAATCGATCAAACCTTTGAAAACAAGACTGCTTTTGTTACTGGTTAGCATAATCCTCGTATGATTTAACAATTTAATCTGAGATACGTCTATGTTTTAACTTCATTTTGCACTGGGAATATAAAAGCATCGTTTTTACCCGCGAATATTTATTCAGATAACTTTTTCTTTTCAGAATATTATAACACCTGGTATGAACATTTATTATGAAAGTGTTATCCTAAGTATTTTATGATAAATTATATTTATAATTATTAAGTTGATGGAAAGAAATGTTGTAATAATTCCTGAGTGCAAAAGGGTTAATGTAATTTACGCATTTATGATATAATTAGTTTCTTAATAAATTCACAAAATGTCTTGCTGGATATCGCATGAAATAATTTAAAATATAAAACATTATTACTAAATTAAAAAAAATAATACTACTATATTTAAATAGTTTGACAAATACAATATAATAAAATTAATTTTTATTCAAATTTGATATTCAATGTTAGGGTTGCGTCAGGGTTGTATCAGAACTACATTATCAATATTTATAAAAGATTTTGAAATAATGTAGGATTACAGTGTCTCTCAAAACTTTTCGGAAACTACAACATAGCCAACTGGATAGTTTCATTTTTCGATTATTTTTAAAGAAATCTCTATGGTTATTGTTTTTAACAATCAATTGTTAATCTTATTACACATTAAACGATATATTGTTACGTTTTTGGCCAACAAAAAATATCCATAAAATTTCCATTTATCATTTATTTAATGTAATTTAATATTTAGAAAATAACTTCTATACTTTATTGAGTAATCATTTTCTTCTAGAACGAAGTCTTCATCAGTTTGGCATATTATTTATAATTAAAAAATATATTCTATTTTTATATTGGTCAATCATTTTCTAGTCTTTGTTTCATTTCCAATATTGGAAAAATGAATATCTTCTGAATTTTTCTATCTAATTCTATGTAATATAAAAAAATAATTTTATTGTCAAATAAAATAAAATAATGTTCGAATATTTTTGGGAGTCACTGTACGCCATTGATATTCAGCTATAGAATTTGAAATAACGTATAAATGATTACGTTGTCGGTCTTGAATGTGTTAAAAAGGCTGGGGATCGCAGTATTATGGTGGACCAAGTAGTACCGTTTTGATGGAGGTTGCAGTACCGATATGGCCTCAAGAAATGTGCACTAGGAGCTTTAGTCAACGTGTCACGAGGGCTACTATGTGCGCAGGCGCTTATGAAGGAGGTCGTGACGCTTGTCAGGTAAGGATAAAAAGACTTACATAATCGAAAGTACAGGAAATCGAACGGGTGAGACCTAACCCAGACACTAACGTAAATTTATTCTTCAAACTGAACTTTCAACTTTACGGATTGAGATTTAAATATACATGGATAGAAACAGTTTTTAGATATTTTACTTACGTTATATATTTTTCTTCTTATTTTTGTTCTCCTTTCTTTTGATTAGGGAGATTCCGGTGGTCCTTTGGTTCATCAACTAGGTAATGGAAGATGGGTGAACATTGGAATAGTTTCCTGGGGTATACGTTGTGGTGAGCCTAACAATCCTGGAATTTATACTCGGGTAAACTTTTATCTCGATTGGATATTCGCGAATGCAGTATTTTAATAAAATCTCCTTCAAAATTCTATGCATGGATAATAAACGATTAATTTATTGTCCTATGTGGATTAGATCAATGATCATTATTTTTTAATGTCTTAGTTAGCAATGAACCATGTCAATTTTTTCTTATTTATTTTCATATAAGTAGAATCTCCATTATTCGAATTAATAGGAAGACATAACTGTTTGGATGAATGAATTTTTATATAGTACTACACTAATTTGTATCATGATTTTAAGCGTGTATTCAGAAAAAATGACATAATAATAGGAAAAAACGATACAATAAGAAGAAAAGAATAATATGTTTGTAATATAAATAGAGTAATAAATGTAATATACAAAAATATAAAAAATATAATATTATACAAAAAATATACCTGGTCTGGAATATTTGTTTTGTAGTAGATAACACAAGTAGAAAAGTGTACACATAATGTTCGGGATAATAGAATATTCGAATATCTAGATTGTCGGATATTGAAGGTTCCATTATATTTTGTTTCGACTCATTAAACGAAATACTCCTGAGAAAACGATTTAAATTTTATTTTTGGAATATATCAATCATTACATCATTCAAAGGAAATGAACATAAATATAATTTTTATTTCTTACCACCAATATATACTCAATATACACGATAAGCACGCTTTTTCACTTCCTCTTGTCACGTTTTTCATAAACAAAAAGCCAAGAAACGATTGACTTCTCAAACGCGCGTCATTGCCTGACCGACAACACGCTCTCCCATCACATAAAACATTACTTACTTACATACATACTAATTCTCGTACACATTTTATATATATATATGTCTTGTTTACTTCCTTTCTTTCATACGTATACTTTTACGTACCACAAGCACACACAAACACTCTCTCTCTCTCTCTCTCTCTCTCTCTCTCTCTCTTTTTCTTTTGAGTGTTATTTTGTTCGTCTAATATAATTGCGAAAGGCCCAGCCTCTCCTTACTAGAAATTGCTTGCTGAACATCAATTTTTCTAATGCCGTCTAATTTTCCTCAGAGACTGACACGTATAATATATTTTTTTCGTAAATACATACATACACACACATATAATATATATGTTTTTATTTGTTTGTGTCTTTAGCCCGTGTATACATATATAGATATTTATTTACGTACTTATTTATTTATCCTTCTCTATTTTTTTGAGCTATCTGACAAGCAGATAATACAGGGTTATTCAAAAAGAATAGTTCAAAATGAAAGTTGATTTATTCGTTTGTGAACTGACATACACGATGCATAATGATATACAATGACTGACGATCGTCGTAAGTTTGTTGTTCCTAAGTTGTGTGTGTATCTGTATTCACGTACTTTATGAGATGAACAGACGCAAATTTGATGGATCTTTCTTGTTTGCCAAGTCAACAATCACTGGCTTCACCTACCTGGACATATTAACAGAATGGCTCATGCCTCAACTAGAGAAAGATTGTCCTAATCTTATCTTTCAACAGGATAGTCCTCCTTCTAATTTCTACAGTACCGTTCGTAAACACTTCTGTACCAATCTAACAGGGTGCTGGATCGATCATGCAAGGGATCATACTATTGACAAGGGGACGTACAAAAATTAATTTTTGTTTTTGTATTTTATATATATATATATAATTGTATTATTTAATTTATAATTATTAATTATATAACTTGTGTATGCGTAATACTGTTGATTTAATAACGTTGGCAAAAAGAAGAAACTTCACACGCTTTATTATAGAAAAATAATAAAATGAATTAAACATACTTTACAATAACGAAAGTAAAAAATAAAAAAGAGCAGAAAAAGAAAATGTTCCCTGTCGAGGAATCGATCCGGCGATATCAGAGACACGAAGCCACTTTTGCGAAATTTCTATTACCGTTTCTTCGAAAACGGTTAAATATCTAGTTTTTTTAAAAAGTACAACGAATATTCTCATGGACTACTGCAAGTTTGAAAAAAATCGGATAATGGTCGATCTGACCATCCCCTTGTGAGACTTCCACAGTCACTTGATTTAACACCTTGCGATTTTATTTAGTGGGGATACGTTATGGATGTTGTGAAAGCTCTTTTATTCCCATAATATCTGGAAAATTTGAAGAACCATATCTTTGATGATATGAAGCGAATAATTAAGGATATGTTGAAACGCGTCTGAGTTGCATAAGGGTTTTATCAAGAACGTGTCTAGGAAAAAATGGACTTATTTCTACTCATCTACACAGACAGACATGTAAATTATGGATACAAAACTTATGCATGTATTTATCAATGCATATCATTGTAGTTTGTGCATATCAGTTTAATAAATAATAAATCAGCTTTAATTTGGTATTATCTTTTTTGAATAACCCTGTATTTTTAACTTTTTCATTAATATTACATATCTGGTATTCTTTATTTTTTTTTCAAATAAATTCATTAGTCATTGAACAGGTATTTTCATCTTGTACATCGTTAACGACAAAGTTCACCCTTCCATTAAAGTTACGCATTTAATTCTCGTTACTTTATTTTAATGGAAAAATTATATCTCCATGAATACTTTGAGAAAAGCAGATCGAAGTTATAATTTGGTCCTATTTCTCTCTCACATATACACGCACATACACACGCTCACACGCTCACATATATAGACAACAACATCCTATTATTTGGCATGAAACTAAATACAAAAGAAAGAACAAGAATTATTACGATAATAATACGACTTGAGTATAGTCGTTAAATATTTGCAAGCTTAAAATATACAGTTTGGAAAGACGAGAAAGTAATTCTAAAATGTAAAAATATTTTGATTAAAAAAAAAAAAAAAAAATAACGAAACGCGTGTCCTTGGTTTCGTCGTTAAAAGGAAGATGAGTAATTAGCCGCTTAGAAAATGACGAGCAAACGATTGCCCGTTTCGTCGCAGACTTTCTCGTTAACAGCACCTTGTCTAATACTGGTCGATTCGGGCAAGTCGGCATTGAATACTGAATTATTTACCCGATGTAAGTATATTTATATATATATATAATATATATATTATATTATATGTTTATTCCCCCCGTACTTATTATTTATTTTTATTTATTTTTTTTTTAATATAGACCCATTAAACGTGTAATCCTGGGAATCCGTTAAAGAAGTACGTAGTATATAGCTTTGGAAAAAAGTAGCTATTTAATTTAGATATCGTCAGATGCATAATCAACACTGACTATTATTGGTTCTGTAATAACATCTAGAAAGAGATCACTTTGTCTTATTACATATGTATACATTGTATTATGAACGACTTACCATCGATTTAAATGTTCGCTGGTACCCAATTACTCTGCTCAAAATATCACACCATCTGTGTGTGCATTTATAGAAAATCAAGAAAATCCAGAAAAATGATTTCAATCTTAGGAATCTCTTTTTTTCCCATTGATTCATGTTGTTGTTGAATAATTAGTCTTTTCGAGTAGCATGTACAGATGGCAGGATATTTGATTGGGTAGAAATATCATACTCGATTCTCCTATCCGAATTACCAAACTCAGGATAAGAGACGCACGAAAAGAGCTAAATTCGAGGCATCGAGTCTGCAGGTAAAAGAAGGGGCGTATTTGGACCACTCTCGGTATGATTCGGCATACTTTCCGCCGAGTAAGTATACGCTTGTCGATTTTGTTGAACTGGGACTGCACGTACGTGAGTTGGCGAAACAACATTACTTGATGACACACTATTGGCTGGTGCTCCATTTCCGGTTACCGTGATGTTACATGTACTGCTACCAAAGTGTATTCGGTTTTGATTAGTTTGATACGATGCTTGTAATTGTTGTTGTATTTGTTGTTGTTGTTGTTGTTGTTGTGAGGGTTGCTGCTGTGGTGGCGATGGTTGTGGTTGCTGTTGTGGTGGTTTCTGTTGTTGCTGTTGCGGTATTGGCTTCTGTTGCGGTTGCTGTTGTGGTGTTGGAGGATTTTGTTGTTGTTTATTTTGAGGTTGATCTTTTTTTGAAATATCTTGAATCGAAATGTGACGTGTTTGAGATGATTCCACCTGAGGCTGAGTTTTGGATTGAACGGAATAAGTTTGGTCCTTTGCTTCCATTTTCGTTTGATTCGACTTATTTTGCATTGGTTGTATTTGCTGTTGCTGTAACTGCTGCGTCACTGGTTCGTTGGAAATGGGTGGAAGTTGACCGGTAGATTGGGGTGTGTTTATTTGCTTAACGTTATTATTCATCGGTTTTTCACCCATCAACCAATACGTCGTCATTGTACCTTTACCCTGTGGTTCGTGGCAAAAAAAATATGAAGTTAGCACGGCGAACTAATATTTGCTATTCACGTATACAGAAACGAAAGAAAATATGATTTTAGGATGCCGTATAAACTGAATGTAATAATTATTTCGTGAAATGATTTTATTAGTGAAATTTTCATTAATCTTGAACAAACAAATTTGAAAATACGCGAACGTTCCTTTGGTTAAACGTTTGCATGATGATGTACTCCCGGTCGATCGATAAACTCTGACCTGGATTTAAAGCAGGCCTAGTAGCGTGCCTGCTACGAATTATTTTATTTCATAATACTTTGATTCAAAAGATAAATGTTACCTTTAACGTCACCTCTCCTCTGCAAACAAGATCGAATGTCCCGAAAGTATCCAGAATTTCTTTTGTCTTTGGACTCACGTGTATCATCCATGCTGTTTTCAACAAAAATTACATCAAATAAGAATAGTTTAACCTAATCGAAAATTGCAATCCTCGATGAAACATTTCATTGTCAAACGTATATGCTTCTGTTGGTTTAATAACAATTACCTTCCCCGTTACTTTCCATTCTGGATGCAGTGTTGACAGTATCACCGAACAAACAATACCTCGGCATTTTCAAACCAACCACACCTGCGACGCAAGGTCCTGAAATGAACGAAACCAAATTGCTTATTTATTTTTATGCCGTCTTTTCATCTCAGTAATCACAATTTAATCGATTATATAATATGATTTGCTTAGTGGTCATCATCATTTTTAATACATTTGTAATAGAAAAATTAGACCAAAAAATGTATTCAATAGAAATTAAATAATTGTTAATCGGTAATTAGTTACGATAATAAAAAATTGCCAACAAATTTTCTTTTGGAAAGAGAACAAGGTCACTTTGCTTTTTTTTAGTGAAATCATTTCTTGTTTCTTTTTTAAATAATATTATAATGTAAACGGCAGCAAAACAATTTTAATGTGTGTAGAAATATATATTTCATTCAATAAAACATAATTCATTATTTTTTCTTTTCATCAGAATTCTATCTAGAAACTTTGTTTTATTAGAACTTTCTTTTTATTAGATTATCTTAAGTATCTTAAAAATTGTTCAGATTTTTTAAATCGGAAAATATAATTGCAAATTTCAAAATATTTCAAATATTATATTTCGAGACAAAGACGACAAAAAATATAAATAATTATTATAAAAATACTATATATATATATATAGTGTGTGTGAACAAATTCGACCAACTAAATCTAATACTATTTGTCTAATCGGGAAATATTTTCCTAATTACATATCAAGCTCGCACATATTCAAGAAATAATTCCAAGTGAAGATGTTTTCATTGTTAACAAAATATTGTAATATTCGGAAAGAATGAAGATATTGGTGTTCGTCTTGCGAAGTGTCATTATGTTTTGTACCTTGGTTTACTCAAAATCATTCAACAATAAATTCAATTTCTAACTAATCATTTTTCTAAGTAATTGACTTTTTAATTATTTTCTTCTATATAAAAACTGTATGTTTAAATAAAATATTTAAATAATTAAATATTCGTAATAAAATGATTCATTTGATAAAAAAAAGAGTCATTTAATTAAAACTCAATTCAATATTATAACAGCTAAACATACTCTGTGTTTGACAAGAATACTTGACGAGTGTACGTTTTGGTGGCACAATTTAAGTACATGCTTTTCAAAGAGATCGTCAAAGCTAACTGGTTAAAATATCAAACATTTTATTATTTATTAATAAAATACTGATAATTTTTTTATTCATTGTTGTCATTTTTATTTGAGATAATTAGGTAATTCCTGTTTATATAACGGAAGTGAAATTTTTGAGAAAACACAAAAAGTAAATTTTTATATGCTTCATTGATTAAATCAAAATGTTGAAATTGTGCAGCTAACTGGTTAATTAATGATTTTTAAATAAAAATAAGTTAATATATTTTGTTTTTAATTACGATCTGAAAAAAACTATATAACTCCATACAATAAAATAATGACTATTTTAAAATCTTGTAAAAAATGATTTGGAAACAAATTTATTTGACCACTACATATGCCCGTTCAAACAATGTAACTTTATCCTAATGTAATTTTCCATTAAATGATTAATAACGGGGATAGATTTTTCGATTTAAATGCCTTGCCCTGTATAATAATACTAAAGGAAAACAATAAACAGATAGATGAAGTAATAAATAAAATGCATATACTCTTTCTGAGATAAAAACAAAGAAAAATTGTTACAAAAATAATTTATTAAATTAATTTCATTTTGATAAAACGATTTAAAATTTGTAGAGAATAGTTGAGTGGAATTTTTAATGGTTCTACGTAATAGAAAAATTATTTTTGTTCGAATAATCCAATATCGATTGGACTTTTTCTTTTAATTGAAGTTTTACCGTATAACAAGACACCTGTTTTACTCGTTCGGTTCTATCGAGGTAGAAAAATCGATATCCATAACTCAATAGACACATTTTATAGGAAGATTGAATGCTGAAAAACGTCTTTTATTTATGCAAAAACTTTCACGAACTTATTCTTTTTTAAAACTTTGTACGAACCGATGATCTTGAGGTAATTTAAAAAGCAATTAATTCAGTGTGCATATCGAATCGAAAAGAGACGTGCAACATATCTCTTTGAAATCCATCAAAAGTATTTTCTCGTTAAAGTTCATCCTTGGACAAGCTCTCTCCCTCTCTCTCTTTCTAAATTTTGATTTCTCTTTTTCACACACATACCAACACTCGGCCACCTATAAACATACACGCATAAACACGAGAAACATATGAACACGAATAGTTGCCTGCATGCATACATTCAAAAACACAGCACAAACGACACACTCATATATATTACACTGAACACATATAAAGCCATAGAAAACGAATATCAATCCACATACATGCTACATACACAGAGCCAAGAAACACATTCACACACACACCCATACACACTTTCTAATAGCAATATTCGCTCGTCTTTATTTACTTCATTTTAACAGGGAATCTAGGATGAGAGTTTAATTGATTATTTTCAAAAAATAAAAAGACTGAAAGAGAGAAAAAAGTGATATCACATGAAAAAAATAAATACACTTACCAGAATGCATTCCTATACGAAGTTTCAATTTTTCTTCTGGTCTATGACGGATTTGAAATGTCATAACGGTGTCCCTCAATGCCAGACTCATCCTCGCTATTTCCCTTGCATGATTCATGCCATTTCTCACTGGCAATCCGGAAACGACCATGTAAGCGTCTCCTATCGTCTCGACCTTTTGTGAAACAGACAGTAAAGTAGACATTTCAAGGATATTAGGTACTGAATTTTCTTTAAAGGGGATCATTATGGTTAAACACTTGAGAAAACATTTATTTTGTATTTTTCTAACAGGGTTTTCATTAATTAAACTGTGTTCAAGTTTTTAGTCGAAAGAAAGTAATGGATTTTTACTTGCTGAAACACTATGATGTAATTCAAGTCCAAAGAGTCGAAAAATGTCCCAAGTAAACTCACTTTTTTTTCTAATTGTATCGCTTGATCAAATAAATAGGGCTTTATTCATTATCACTGCAGCGAAAAATGTAAGACACCTTTGTTTGGCACTAGGTTATTTATTTATCGCAAATAATGCCGATATATGTATATGTGATATCGATTGTTGTTGACGCTGCTTGATGACTTCGTTGCTCGTAGATTCGTGATTTGCTACTAAGATGATCTTTCTCGTTGTTCTTCGTGATGTTGACTGATGCTTGTTGAATGCTCTGTCGTGCTGTTGTTTCAAGGCTTTTTATAGGAAGAAGATGATCTCTATCCCTTCCCTACTTTGATTGTCCAATAGCAACAAGTCCTCCCTCATAGTCCATCGATGTAAAAAGTTAACGTTTTTTAGAGAAAGTGGTAATGGAAAAACTATGCAACGGGAAGAACTTAGTTTAGGATGAAGGACTTCGTTTTCTCTTGGTAGGAACGCACTTGTTACTCAGCACGTCGACACCGACGAGTAATTTATGGGTTTGTTAGCCAAAATTATATGTCCTTCACAAATGTTTTATAACATTTCTTCTGCATCTTTGAGCACGATTTTTACGATCCGAAATAATATCGAAAATTATGCTATTCGATTCATTCCTTGGGTTTTTTTTCCTTGCGTTGTTACGCAACAGAAGGATTCGAAATGTCACGTAACTAAAACGTGCTGCAATAAGTGATTTTTCGCTGATAAGACCATAATTCCGACGCATAATGACACAATAACAAGACATTTACAGTTATTTCATAAAACATCTAGTAAAAATGTATAATAAAATACTTTTTATTATGTATTTTCTACTTATATACTTTCGTTTAAACGATTACTTCTTTTATGTAATATCTTAATTAATTGAATTAGATACTTTAACAGTAATATTTATAAAGGATACTGCTTAAATCGGGGAGTGGGTGTATTTAAAAATTTCCAAAGTAAAGAAAATTAAGAAAAGTAATCACAGAATTATATTGATTGTTTATATAGCTTAAATTTAATTAATTCCATAATTAATGAGACAATCAATAAATTTATATTGAATAAGTACGTGTACATATATACGCATATTTTTCGTTTAAATTTATATACTTTAGGAGATTAAATTCAATACACTCTTTGCATATTTAATGTTTAATAATAAAAAAACGCTGCCTTTTTTAATAAATTATCACGTTTCGTGGCTATATCTATTAAAGTAATTGAATAAATATAGTAAGTAATATATCGCTTACCTTATAAACGTCGAAATTTTCGATAATGGAGTCGAAACAGGTGTAGAGATCGTTCAACAAGTCGACTACTTGAAGTGGCGTACTCTCAGCCGATAGACTGGTGAAACCAACGATATCACTAAAGTAAATGGTTACTTGATCGTACGTTTCAGCTATTACACTCTGTCCTAGTATCAGCTGAGATGCAACGGATCTGAAATAGAAAATATATTCAATTCGTTTTCCTATGATTTTAAATAAAAACAATTATATTTCATTAGCATTTTTCAATTATTTTCTTCTCAATATTTTGTTAAATAAACTGTCAGTATTTTCAAATATTTGTTGTCAGTATACATAAACATTTAAACCAAATAATAATAATAACAATAAGTACTCGTCGAAAAAAATATAAAGGACTGTACATGAGCAATTTGGGGCGAAAAGTGTAGTAAGTAACATAGACGATGAACTGTAACTAGATTGATATCCTCGATCCTAAGTCTATGCTATTATTGCACTACCTATATAAACATGAATGAACTGTAAAATGAAATATTTTTCTAACACACACAATTACTGTATTTATAAATAGTTTTTATATTAATGAATACCAATACTAATTTCTCATATCACAAAGTAATATTTTATTATAAATAACTGAGCCATTTATTTAAAATACTGACAAAAAATGTATCAAAATATATGAACGCAATAAATAACAATCCTAACAAAAAGATACAAAGTGGAAGCTACATATGTCACTCGTTTCTAGTAACAATCTGATTTAGCAGAATAAAAGAGAAATATCCAGGTTTTTTGTGTCACGTTCGATGCCGGCCGCTCGTTAAATCCTGTTAAAGTGCGTTAAAACTCACGTACTCACCTTAGCGAGGCTCAAAATTTGATAGAAAAATTTCCATAACAGGAAATGGAGGATATTAACGGCGACAAATAAAATGCGTTTTTCATTTTAATGGAAAGCTAGGAAATATATATGTAATTGTATTTTGATGTGTCAGTAACGTTTATAAGTACGATCCACATATTTTTATTAGAAAGAATAATCGTTTTTAATACCTTTCCTATGATATTTCCAGGAAAATGGTAAAAAAAGTTTTTTTTTGTAAGAAATATATTGACGTAATAGAAAGAGATAAATCAAATTTATTTAATGTTGTTTAAGCAATATAGAAAATCTAATTAAACAATGGTAAACGGAAACAAAGCAATTAGAGATACGTGACTACAATAAATCCAAGTTGATTACTTACAATTAGTGCGTTAGAAAAATGACATAACTTAAAGTAGACTTACTTTGGCAGTAACTGATATAGAAGCTCCTCGCATTTGCGTTTTTCCTCAAAGTAATCCGCAGTACGTTCCTCGACCAAGGCTTCTAAATTCGTCGCATATTGTTCCATGCGAGACAACAAATTGTCCAGGATATTGCTACTTTCGTAATCTCTACAAGAAAAAACGTATAATGTTATTCTTATGAACATCTAAATGTGTTAAATAACTTTTACATAAGTTTTGCACCAGCTGTCGGGACCCGGCGGACAATCTTAATATTTGACATTATCATTCGTTAAACACATATGATATATTTTTCTGTTTTCCAAATAGTTTCCTACAGAATAAGCTGTAGCAACACTGTGTGGCTCTGACAAAAACCAAAAAACCAATTTTAGAAGAGGAGCCCAAAAATCAATTGGTTAATTATATTTTTAAAATGGAATAAAAATTCTTAGATATTGCAGTCAATGATATAAAACAAATAGCTCACTAACTCGTAATTAGTAATAGAATTAAGCATCCTTTTGATAATTACACGATTGGAGAAGAATTGATAGATCGTTTTGTTGCACGCCATCGAAATAGTATTTCATTAAGAAAACCGACAGACACGTCAGTTACCAGAACTCTCGACCTTATTCAACAAAATGTAAATGCTTTTTTGATATCGGGAATATGCAGTATTAAAACATCTGTTTTACAATTCGAAAATATCTGCAATCAAATGTAACAAAAATAGAAGAACAGTAGAAAAACAGATTAAATGAAATGATTCGGTTTGACTAAATACCCAACCGGAGTCAAATGATACAATGTGCAAGAAGAAATTTGTTCAAAATTGTAAAAGCAAATTTGGGATTTATATGTAATGCTGTTTGATATTACTACCTGAATTTCTATTAGTCCAGATTTAGGTTCGTTTAGAAGAAGTTAAAAAATCAAAAAAGTTCTAGGTCAACAATATTGATTTTTGCGTGACACATTTCTCATGAAATTCATTCGAATTTGTCATTTATTATTATTTTAAAGTAAAAAATAAAATGTGCATACCACCTCCTCTATAAAATTCGGGAGGTGGATATATGAACGTTTCTCTACCTCTTGAAATATTATTTACATAGAATAAATATTTAGGTGGGAGGGAAAAGAGAAGCGCGCATGTCGGTTCGTATTTAAATGACGATTAACCCCATCTAAAACGGATGCAATGCAACTACATTGCACGTAATAGACGTTTTGTTAGTTCACCTCTTTGAAAGAGACCGTGCGATAATTATATTATCTAGAGAGAAATTGTATTGGGGCGTTTATCCGTCAGGAGCGTATCTAACGATCGCGAGCCCTTTCGACCAATCATCGTATATTCATAGATAGATAGATATATATATATGTAGTACGTGTATGTATATATCCCAAGGACGAAAAGAGGATTTTGTTGAAATTTAATTAATCTAATCGTATTATCAATCTTTCTCACACGCTAATGAAAGAGTACGTGTGACATGCTTTGATGTATCTAATAACCGAATTGCGGAAAATATTAAACGATCTTCTCCCTTAGAAAACGCGAGTGCAATCGATAACGCGATATTAACCCGGAGAGTCATGAATAAAAGTCATAAAAGTTACGTCGAGTTAATCTAGGTACTTCGCTAACGACTCCAGGATTCCATTAGAAGAAATGAATGAACTCTTCGAGTTTTATCAAAGAGATTTCCCTACTAAAGAAACAAGAGGTATACCTTTTACGAGTTATGTTGAAGATGATGATAAGAAGAAGGGAAAACAAGTAAAATAGAAAAAGAAAAGATAAAACAAATAAATAGGAAAAGAATTAAAATGTTAATTTGAAATTCGTTTGAGTATCTCTTATCCCTTTTACTCGTTAGACAAGTTTCCATCTGAAATACATAGTTTTTAAAACGCCTACGCAGAATGATTCGAATTTTAAATGGTTAGTAATCTAACCTAACAAATTGCTATCTTTCCTCAAAATTTCTCACTGAAAGGAACTTTTCATTGTGCAAGTTAAAGCGAGGAGGATGTTGTTCGATCGATCGTAAGAAAAGCCTGTTTACCCTTTTTCCGATCCATTCACTTCCGTCGATTTCTATACCAAGACAATTTTTCGAATTCTAAATGGGAAAGAAAAATCCAATTCCACGGATCACCGAACGAAGAGAATACAATTTTACGAAAAATCGTGAAAGGCGTTTTATAAATGGTGTTAAATAATCGTAACAATCGTTTATGTATACCTTTTTTTCTTTTTTTTAATTCAATTACTCCAAACAGGGAATATTATTACTTATTTTCTTATATTTTTTAAGTATCAAATAATCGTAATATTTATATTTTATTTTTATTTTTTTCCGCGAACAAATTCATTCGAAAGAAATGTAATTCATTTTATGTTTTATTTTATGTTTACTTTTTCTATTATTAACAATAAAATGTGAAATAATCATAACACTTCTATATTTATCTGTTTTCTTTTTTAATTTTCTTTCGATTAAATTATTCCGAAAGGGTTGCAATTAATTCCTTTGTTTTCTTTTTTAAGATGTGAAATAATCGTAACACTCATATTTTTCTTTTATTTCTTCTCCTTTTCCATTTTACTTTTATGTTCCTTAAGCGTGAAATAATCATAACACTCGTTTATTTCTTTCTTTCTTTCAATTAAATTATTCCGGAAGAGGAATCAAATTATTTTTTTTTTCTTTTACATTTTTAAAGTGTCAAATAATCGTAATATTCTTTTTTCTCTGGTTTCTTTCTTTAGACTAAATTAATCGGAAAGGAACCAAATGAATTCCTTTTACTGGTCAATCTTTTTTACTATTTTTATTTTATTTTTATTCTTTATGATCCCAATGTATAAAATAATCATAACACTTATTTATTTATTTCTGTTCTTTTTTGCTCTTTTATTTCGATTAAATTACTCCGAAAATGAAAAAAGAAATGAATTCTTGTTTTTCTCTTTTATTTCTGTTTTAATTTCATTTTTTTTTTTTACTAGAAGAGTAAAATAATACGATATTTTGACATAGGACTCTTCTATCGACGGAATTCGTAAGTTCCGATGTGTGGTTTAATCTGCCGCTGACAATCGCAGATATCTCAAGTGCTTTCAATATGCGTTTTACCATCCCCGTAAACGCCTTTACGTAGGCACCCACCGGCGTCAATCGTGCATTCGATAGTTCTAGCAATGCATAGGATACCTCAACAAAACGAAATCCACATTATCATCGCACACGCATTTAACGGCATTCGCGTTTCTTTTTTTCCCTCTTTATTTCGTTAATATTTTTACGGAATTTTGTTATTTTTCGAAAAAATCGCCCAACCTTTATATTGCAAAACAACGATATTTACTACACTTGCGAACGCTTTTGACCATGATATATTGTTGCGCATGAAATATTTATATTTTTGTATTTTTAACGATACTCGCAAATGTTTTATGTCATATTCATTCTATGTCAAAATGTGGCCAAAGGACGATGGTTTTCGTTCATAAATATTGTAATTTATAAATAAATTATTTGTTTAATCCTTTTTCTACACTCGAAAACGGCAGTAAATTCTTTAATGTATATTAAAAACGCTCGTGTCGATTCTTCTTGAATTTTCCAAAGCGGTAATCGGCCGCACTTATACACATTCCAAATATTTAAAGTATTTATTGTCATATTGCGTTTTGGTTATCCCTAAACTCTCCATATAAAGCATTGATAAGAAGAAATTCACATCCCTTAAAAATATCCTTTTCGAGAGTCATAATGTTCCGAATAATCCCATCGAAGACCCCGTATTCTCTTTCCCACATATCCTTTTCTCTATCTTTCTCCCTTTTCCTTTCTGTCTCTTTCTTATTCTTTTTGTACAGTTTACGGAAGTCTTTTTCTCGCTCGCACCACGTTCAGATATTGACCTACTAAGTTATTCGGTCTGAACTCGACTGTGTGTACACTCTTCGAATTCCTCGAGTATAAGACTCGAGGAAAACCGAGAACTATGCCAATATTAGGGGTGAACGATCTCGAAAGAGCAAGGGGTAAGACAAAAATAGGGGAAAAAGGGGGAAAAAGAAAGGGCGCGTGACGCTTTGAAAATAATCGAGAACGCTAAGGGAAAGAAAAAATAGAAACAGAAAAAGCATCCCAGATTTCACTTACAGTCAAACGAACGGAAGGACATTGTCTACGAGGCCAAGTAGATACACAACGATCCAACTAATTGGCAAAGTTATCCTTTCACGAAGCACTCGAGCTACGCTTAAGATTTAAGTTTTAGAACAAAGGGAGCCTGATGATCGATTTGGTGAAAATTCTTCTTCTTCTTCTTCTTATTCTCAAGGTTTATACGGCAACTCGTATAAACTAGCTGGTTAGAATTCTATCTTTCACGCTTAAATCGCACCCTTACGCGTACGTGACTTTTATAACATAAAGTTACGCATTATTATTATGAAGAAAGTTATTATTGCAAAGAAAGTTATTCTTTGCGAATATAAAAGAGAGAGAAAGAATAAAGAAAAAGAAATAAACGAGCAAAAAATGAAAAATGAAAAATGGGAATATAGAAAAAAATGTAAAATATATTTGAAACAAATGACTTACTTGTTGATCTTGCGGATGGTCTGCTTTAGCGCGGGAAAATCAGGTCGATCGGCTGAATCCTGCGCCCAACATCGTCTCATTAGTGTAGCTACCTGTTAGACGGGGGTTAAAATTTATTTCAAAGCGTGTTTCATGCGCTATCTACAAAAAAAAGTATGTATATTTTAAGAAAAATATGATTTTTTAAAAGAGACTCACTTCTTCCTCAACAGCACTTTCGTCGATCACTGGTCTTAAAGGTGAACTACCCCCTTTCCTGACGCCCTCTACGATTTCTAGAAAAGAAAAAGGAATACAGTTGAACCTTTAGTATCCGAATTAATAGAAAGACATAACTGTTCGAATGAAGGAATTTTCCTAACACTATTATATGTATCATGATTTTAAGCACATACAAGGAGGGTCATAAGAAGCTTTCTCTCATATTTTTCATTTTCATCTTCAAGTCATTTGAAGGTCGTATTCAATAGTGTAATACGTCTAAATGTTGAATACAATTATGCATACGAACCAAATATGCAATTAGATTAAAAAAAAAACCTTAATGATCTTGAAAAGTTCGAAATACATGACATCGAAGTAAATGATATTATTATAACCATGTGCGTCTTTCGAAGCCATTCAAATTCACATGTAGAAATATTTCGTTTCATTAAATTCAACAGAGATATTTAGATTTCCTGCTTTTTATGTCTATCCCTATTATCATTTTATATTATAATGATATAAAAATAATTTGAAAAACTGATAAAATAAAAAGAAAAGAATAATATATTTTCGTTATATAAATAAAAATAAAAAATATAATATTATAGAAAAGATATACTACATCTCTATTATTTGTTTTTATAGTAGTTAATACAAACAGGATATTAGAACTTTTGAATATTAGATCTTTGGATATTGAAGGTATCAATTGTACCAATATAATTTTTTCTTATCGAACGAATTCATCTACTTGTAACGATAAGTACTATGATAGAAGTACTACATTATATTCGAAATGGAGTTATGAACGCTTGAATACACGTAATGTCAGGAGAATATCGATTTTAAGCCAAGCGCTATGCTAATTATCCGCGAGATACTGTAATTGACGTTTCGAATTAGCTAAGCGAATATATCATTCCCTTTCTATCTTACTACGAGTTACGCTTAACAATTGATTGATTCTTATTAACAAGATTGCACTTATATGATACAACGATTTTAATTGGAAGTGGTTAGCGAAATAACATTTGAAAAAATTCAAGAGGATAATATGTTACTTTTTTGTCAAATGAATGATCAATATACGTGGCAGTAATTATGAAAATGAACTAACAATAAGGCAATGAAAGGAAAAATAGTAATTATTTATATTATTTTATATAATTAATATAATATATATTATATGCTTGGGGGACTCCAACTGTGTTAATGAGCATAAGTAATATTTGTCAGTCGTTTAAATGCATGGTCAATATTTATAATAGCGGTAAGTTTAGATAAGAATTGTGTCCAGACTAGGTTACATATAAGTATACACATAATATTATTTTTGTATTGAGAAATACTAATCTCTTCAATTATATATTAATATATTTTATGATAAATTATATTTATTGAAATTATTTATACATTCATTTATACAATTCTAAATAATATACAATTAATTTAATAAATACATTTAATTTCTAATGATAATTGTAATTTCTTTGTGTGTTTATATTTATTCTATAATTATTTATTTCAAATATTGACTCAATAAATAGCAATTAAAATAAAATCAACTGTTCACAATCGTACATAAAATAAAAGTTAATTTGACAAAAAGGTAAGCACGTATAATAGATACTGAATATACATATATACATGTACACCAATGGAAGAATTCACGCAACGATTTTCATGAAATAATGTATGAAGATATTGATCTCCCGTATTCCGACAACCTCGACTGAATGCGGTACTTTTTGTACGAAGTCAGTGGTAGACGAAACGTAAAGACTAATTACGTCATTCACACGGGAGCTACAGTATCGCTCAGTTCAGTCCAAAAAAAGAGGAATATACGAGGGTAATTATCCGCGATGTAACAGTATTCTGTTGTAGAGTGGCTGTACTGTCAAGTGTTCATGCATTAGTATTCGCGGTTTTACTCCTATTACTGTTGTACAGCTTTTAACACGCTAGCATGCTTACATTCTGTTAATTGTGACATTAACAATACCCACTACGCTTTACATTTGCACGTAGACCAAGAAGAGCAAATAACCGTTACCCGTTTCTTCTTATCTGTATCAGAGGTTCAAATTTATATATAATCGCGTGCGAGGACTTTTAGAATATTATTGAGACAGTGACTGAAAGCATTCATTTATAATCGTGATAAGAGAAAAACTACTAATATTAATGCGTTAGTACTTGAAAAAATAGTTAACATACAAAAAATAACTTAGTAAATAGCAGATAATTGTGCCAGTCTTTATGATAATAGACCGAGTCTAAAAATAGAAAAATATTGATTTTATGAATTATTTTTTATAATATAAATAATTATAATATATAGTATAAATAAGTAATTAAACTTTAGAAAAAAAGGTTTATAGGAAAATATGTGTGTGTGTGTATGTGTGTGTGTGTGTGTGTGTGTGTGTGTGTGTGTGTGTGTGTGTATGTGTTATATAAAATAAACAATAAAATTAATTATTATATCATATAAAAAATTTATAAAACATTTTAAAAATATATAATTTATTATATTTATAAAATCAAATCTTTGATAATATTAATAATTTTGTGTAATCCAAATACTTATAATATAAAATAAATCATAAACTGAATTATTTTCATTTTTTGACTTGCAGTTAGTTTACCACTATAATGGCCGGCATAATAAATTATTGATCCACCCTAGTAAAAGACATTTTTAACTAAAGAACAAATGAAAATATCTCGACACGCAATATACACTTATCAAGATACGTGTATTTCATACGCATATCTCTGTGTGAAACCGGCCTAGGGCACAATCTTTTGTGAGAATGACCTAGCCATTTATAGAACTACAGACAAAATTTATTCTCTACGAACATACTAGGTTTAGTTAATAATTAACCACAATGTAATGATTTTTTGTCTAGGACTATATCGTGTAACAGTATTTGCTATTGTGACTATACAACACATTAAACGGTTAGAAAACTAATTTAATTACAAATTGTTTAATAAAATATTTCGCTTCGAAGAACACAAGTATATAACCGTATATATAATACAAGTACATGCTCTAAATGTGTACGATAATGTAGGAAGAATATCTACAGGATGTCTTGTAATTATGTTACACCGAACATGAGGTGATTCTAAATAAATAACTAATTGGAAATTGTACAAACAAATATTTACATATAAAGATTCGTTTACAAGAAAAATAGGTTTGAAAAATTGTAAAGTATGCGTGCACTTGATTCAGTTTCAGGTCGACGAATTTGACTATTTTACTCTTAAATATTTAGGCAAACATTTTTGTGCTTTTTAATATATTTACAAACAATGTCAGTATGATACAATTGCTAGCATTGATTTTACGAGGTTTTCGGTTTGTTATAACTCTGGCGAAATGCTAATGAAACCTTAACATAACCCTGACGAAACCCTGTATATACGGTGACTCAAAATTAAAAAAAAAAGTGAGTTTAACTGTTATTTAACGCGACATTATTTGAAACTAAATTAATTCAATGTAATTTCTATTTTTGACTTTTTAAATTATTTTTTTACTATTATTTTAAAAACATCTAAACTCTTTGACAAGATTAACTATTAGCATACGAAAAAATGTCTACATTTGGCATGATTTTAAAATCAAGTGTTCCATATAAGATACACTAACCTAAAAAGGAAGCTTGTCCTCGGAAAGGATGTCAATATAATAATCTGGAGCATTGAAAAAACGTTGTCCTACTCTTCGTACCACACATATTTTTCTTACTGATAGAAAATATTCGTATCTACTAGTTTGATGCGTAAAAAAAAAAGAAAAATAAAGAATGAAAACGAAAGACTTTGAAATACGATCAGAAAGGATAGAACGATCAAACATCGACGTAAACGTTTCACCGTCGGCCAAGTATTTTATTTATTCAGGGTTCTCCGTAAGATAATATTGTGTAACGTAAAACTCCTATAACAATGTGACAATGTAGGTAGTCTGTAGATTTTGAAAGCGTCAAAGATGGAAATAAATTCCTCTTACCTCTGTGACCCCTTTGGGTATATTTCTTATCATACAAGCATTCTGCACACACAAGTTAACTCAACACTCTCTCGTAGTAGTAAAAGTCCTTATTGTGTCAGACATCTGTCCGGTGTATAAAACAAATGAACGTATAAACGTACATATGTGTATGAAGGAAACCTACTGTGCCTGTAGATATCTTCCAGATAAGTGTTGCAGGACTCGCAGTTGAGGGTGCAGTGAGGTCTGCGGACCTCAAGGAGAGGACTAACAGCCCTTCTAGGACTCGCACCACCCTCAGGACTCGTACCCGGAATTTGTGGTAACGTCAGATTGCTGCTACTCGATGCGTTGCTTTTTTCCGCCATATTGTCTTTTTCCTTTCTCCTTTTTTTTTATTATTCTCTCTTTCTTTCCCTTTCCGTTCGTGATCGTTCCAACACTATTATGCTACGTCGATCAAGAGCACTAAATTACTCCGATCGATACGGTTCTTACAAATCCATCTACTCTTCTTTGTAAATTGTCTCTTTTTTATTTCATTTCCTTTACAGTTATTATTATATTTTTCTCTTTATTTCTCTCTTTATTACTCGAAAATCTATCTAAAAGAAAATTGATTTTATCCTACTTTCAAAAAAGTCTATATCTAAAATGACTGTGGAAATCGACAAAGAAAGATAGAAATAGACGAAGAGAAAGAGCGGAAAAGAGAGAGAGAGAGGGAGAGAGAGAAAGGGAGAGAGAATAACGTGAGCTTTCTCCATCGAGAGACTATCTCCTTTGAACTTTACCCTATTGGGACTGAAGCTTTCACGCAAACTAAATTCGCTTCCACTTTCTCTCTTTCTCTCTCACATATATCCGTAATGAGATCATTTTTTTCTTTACTTGATAAAACAAAAATAGGACGATAGAATAGCAATGAAATCCGAAATCGTTGAATATAAATGCATATCAAATTTATCTTCGTTTAAACAGTAGATTCTTATATTATATTGAATAATAACAAAAATACGTGTCCGATGTTCACGAACTTTTCCAATTACTTAATATAACACGATTAATACGTTTATGCGATCTAAGAAATCATGTTTTGCAGAAATAATTATTTCATTTTACATTATTCTTATTTATTAGAAGCACTTTTTTTTCATTGTGAAACTAGGATTTGATGAGAACAAGTTCGATATTACGTAAAAAGTATTTCTCTTTTCAATGAAAGAAACGAAGGATTCTATCAAATTTGATCAGATAATTTCAGGGTCGTTCGGTGCAATATCATTTTACAAATTCAACTTGAAGTAAGAAACTGTTCAGTGTAGTAGCGTGCTATTTATCAAAGAAAAAAATCTTTCCGACACGAAAGATTACGATGAAAGAAGGAATGAAGCGTCCAATCAACGACGACAAATACCGTATTATCATTAATGAAGGATGACTTTTTTGACGATGATGGTGATGATGATAATAATAATAATACGTAATACCTGAAAGCGATCAGTTATTCACTGATAGAAAATGGACATATTAAGATCTAAATATGAAAATATAACGAGTACACCGAACTCTGCTAACAGCATGATACGAATCGTTGTCCTCGTTGTTCTAAAGATCTTTTCACTCGGTTGCATGATATCTATCTACCTTTATATTGTTTTATATAAACATAAATATATAACTCCCAAAAATAATCGAACACAACGGCACAGGGGTGAAACTATAATACCATAAGATCCCGCAACGCAGAGGAGTTAGAAATCGGAAAGGAGCCCAAAATTTGTGCATTTATTATTTTTGTAATTTGACTAAAATTATTCTTAATTTAAATTAGATTGAAAGTATACTGACAATAAAATATACTTTTTGCGTTTATTAAATTTTTATAATTCCCTTCCCCATAAAAAGCATTAAAAAGAACTCAATTTTATAAAAATATTGACAAAATATTTTTGTTCTTTTCTCTAAGTTTATTTGAAAAGTTTTCGGCGATATTCACATTACCTTCAACTTCACTTTCTTTGAGAAAGATTTCGTTTAAGATTTTTCATATCAATAAGGCAAAACTTCGTCGTGAGGAATAGTTAGCAACAAATTTTGTGTATTTCCAAGGAGCCCCAAATAAGACCAGGTTCTATTTTGATTAAAATTACTTTGTATTGAAAATTGTATAAATGTAAAAACCTTACTCCACTTAATTTAAATTGCAATTATTTCTAAATCTATACTATAAATTCAAAGAAAAGTAATTTTTGATTGTATACCATTGTTTTCATGACAGGAGTATATGTTTACAAAAATCAATAAATGATCTATTGCTAAAAAATAAACCCATAACAATTACTTTACAAACAATCAAAATATAAAAAATAAAAGTAATTCATACTGTGATATTCGAATCTTTTGGATAGTTACTAAACAAAAGTGATGGAACAGATTGAATTTTTCTATAATATTACTCTACTATTTATCTGTAAAATATTATATTATGAAAAATACACGCATGACGTGAAAAAGAAACTATTTATCTAACATTTACGATTTAAAATAATATTTTACCTAACTCTGTTTTAATTCAATACTTTAATTCGATACTATATTGAATCGAGTAAAAAGTTTCTTCGTATTTTCCCGGTAGATGGCGTCATAGTTGCGGCGTAGTTGCGTCATAGTTGCGTCAGGGTTCAATCACCGAAAATGTCGAAGAAATGATGGAGAAAATTAATAAAAATCGACACATTAATAATTCACGATATCCATGAAGAATTAAAAATCAATCATAATATTGTTTTCAATCATTTTTGAAGAAGGCTGGATGCAAAATATGAAAAAAAAAAAAAAAAAACTAATTAAACCTTTACAATAAAATATGTAGAAACTTTTTACTCAACCCAATATATTGGAAATATATATCTTACGTATCATATAGTGATTCAACCATTTATGAATATGAAGTAATTGGATTGACATTTAGCGGACGAATAAAACGAAATCGGTTCCACGGAGTAAAATCCTTCAAGCCTTTTAACGACGAATCGATTATCACGAGGAAACTACTCGAATAGACCATTTTATGTTTTACGATACCGAACCGTTCCGATGAAACGGATACAAGGCGAAAAGCATTGCGAGTGCAATGACAACTCCGATCGATTTCTAACCCACCAATCGGTCTTATTCTCATCTTTTCCTACGATCGTGATATCCTTTTTTCTATGACCGATTACAAATAAAAAGAGTAAAAACAGAAAAAAAAGAAATACAAGGAGAGAGAAAGAGAGAAAATTGCGCTACCTTGCAATTCGTTTGCCAGGATATTGAAAGAAAATTTGATTCTGTGAATGGATTTAATTAATCTCCAATGATACTTTGAATATTTCCTCGTAATATTTTCTAACCTTACAGTTAATATTTTATTTTTATTATCTAAACAGAGTAATAATTAAAAATAAATCAGTTTCTTTTAGTTTTATTGAAAACTTTATCAGAAATTTAGCCTAAGAGTAAATTCATAATAATTTATTACTATTTTTTAATATAATATTATAGTAATTAATTATATCTAGTTAACGTTTCTTAAACAAAACAATATAAAATAGGTAAAGGAAGAAATAATTAGATTGAAATGTAAAGAATAAATAAAGAGAAAAAAGGCAGTGTGCTACAATGGAATTTATTTGCAAGTATGTTAAACAAAAATTCGATCTTGCGTGTAAGCTAAATTGATCTTGGAAGTTAATTTCAATTTTGTTTGAAATATCTTAAAAGCTAGTACTTAATCAATTTATTATTACTATTTGAATAATATTCATTAGTAATTTATTTCACGTTGAAGCAGAATAAAATGAAAAGATAAAGAGATAGAGAGAAATAAAAAATACTACATTGTTACTTATTCAGAAGGGAATTCAATCCTGTAAGCTAACGAAATTAATCACTTTTACTACATTCAAATATTTCCCGAAACCTCTCCGAAACTGACATTAAGTAATTCATTATTATTATTTAGTTAGTTGTATCTAGAGCGAGTTACATTTATTTCACATGTCTTCGCGAAATAAAATAGAAGAAAGAGGGAAAAAGATAGTGAATAAAAGGTAGAAAGAGATAGAGCGAGAGAGAGAAAGAGAGAGAGAGATAAATGGGCTGCCCTAAACCATTCTCGTAGGGACATTCGAGGAAAATTTTGATCCATTATCCGAATAAAATAAATGTCCAACGTTACTTCAGACTTTTATCAAAATTTCTTTGAAGCTTCCACTTATGTAATAACAAATTAATATAACTAGACAAACATTTAACAAATTGCACTTATATCGTACTTAGGAGACAAAATAAAAAAGCGAAGTAAAAAAGTCCAATGCGCTAAACTACACCTTGTTTGTGAGAAATTTAAAGGAAAATTTGAACAAAATTAATTTCTATTGTTATTTAAAACTCTTAAGCTATCAGTCAGTAATTAATCATTTCTAGACAGTAATTATTAGTAATTAATTATATCTAGACAGAAATTAGCGAGGTGCACTTATTTCACGTGTCTTCACGAACATTAAATGAAAATTTTATCTTACATATTATAAATAAATCTCTCGAGACCTAAATAAATCTTTAGAATTATTAGAAACTTTCCTCAGAGCTCTCAAAATTTTACATTAAATAATTGTAGTCATTCATTTTATCTGGACAGTAACAATAAATAATAGTTGAGTTATATTTACATAGATATTAGCAAGTTCTACTTAATTTACGTATCTTAATGGAAAATAATAAAAGAGAGACAGAGAAACGGATGGTGAAATTGGAAAATAGAGAACAAAAGAAAAAGAGAGTAAGTGCAATGTGCTGCACATTATTGCCGAGAATACCGAAGTCAAATTTGATCATGTGCTTAAGAAATTTCCAATTTGACTTAAAACTTTGTCTATATCTCTTCCAATCCCTTATTTATATATTTACAATTAATAATGAATAAATCTAGACAAACATTTATGATCCTCACTTTTTTCACATGAAACGATTTAAAAAAAAAAAGAAACAATGGAATAGAGAATAAAAAATAGAGAATAAATAAATAGAATGAAATAAGCGCAGATCACTGCACCTTGTTCACAAATATATCGAAGTAAAATTCGATTCTATGCAAACAAGCTAAATAATTCTCAAATTTGACTTCCAATTTTGTTGTTTAATCTCTTCCAATCTTTCACTTACATAATTACCAAAAAAATTTAATAATTAAAAAATTAACATATCTCACTTATTTCACGTGTCTTCACGAATCGGAAGATAACAGAAAGAAAAATTAGAAAATTGATAATAAAGAAAGAAATAAAGAGAGAGAGAGAAAGAGAGAGAGAGAGAGAGAGAGAGAGAGTGAGAGAGAGAGACGAAGCGTGAAACAGTGCTCGAGGCGACAGAGAAAGAAAATGAAACTAGAAAAAGAACGCGCGCGAAATGTGTTCCAGGACGCGTTAAAGCTTCGACTGAGCTTTCGCCGACAGCTTCTTCGCGATCGTACTCGACTTTCTCATCCCGAATTAGGAAGATCGATCCTTTTGCTTCATGGATACTCGAGCTTACGAGCTTTTTTACCGACTTTGTCGATAACTCGAAATACTTAGGAAACTGTTGTCCGAAAGCTTTTAAAAATTACTTTTCATTACCCTGTCGGTAAGTTTCGAAAATTTGTTTCCCTGTCAGTACGTTATCTTTCTGTTAAATAATTATCGACTGATAATCCTAGTGCAATTGAATAGATCAACAAAAAATGACAAATTTTATAATGACTTCCACAACAAATTAGTTTATTATAATATATATTATTTTGTTGGAAAATATTTGTCGATCGGTGATAGTAATGCGCATAGGTCGGTAAAAACGCTTTCAAATCTTATGATAATACCAAAGAATACAAAAGTACAACTCCCCTTTTTTATCTAACCAGATTCATCTTAGTTACCACCGAGACCACCAGCGGGCGATAGTAGGTAGAATACTGTATTCTTTGATAGTATAGTACCATCATTACGTTCAGTACCTACTATTGCCTACTGGTGGACTTGTGAGCTTTTATGTACTTCTGTATTCTTTGATAATACCAAATAATAATTATTTGTATGTTAAGATAAAAAAGAAATATTTAGCTGAATAAAACTTAATGAAGAATAATTGTTTATATTTATTTTCACGAGATTCCAAATACATTAGTACTCTGATTTCTCGAAATATGCACTATTTGTTATTCGTAGTAAAATAATCTCTTTGTTTACGCGGTTTCAATTTACGTCGTCAGTTAATTTTGTTAGTACATTAGCCTTATAACGAATGTTTGAAAAAAACAAAGTAAGCACTAAAAGAATAACACGTAATAATAATGAAAAAGAACAAATAAATCATTTTAGACAACAACACTGTCATATAACGAATATAATTTATTTTGGTTAATTTTTCTGAATTTAAATCAATAAGTTTGTATGAAAATATATGAAATAAATATTTATACAACTTATTCCGGCTTTATTTTTAGTATTCTTATTCTGTATTAGCGAACTTCAATTACGTGGTTTTCTTTTACGTAGAAAAACTTGATGAAATAAATAATCCGCATAAATCTAGCTATATATGAAATATCGTAATTAAACAGCCCTAGTCTTGGAGTCATTGACTGACAAAAATTGCTTATTAATTTTCTTTTAAAAAAAATTCTTCTTTTAGAGATATTGAGATATCTTTAATTTGAAAAACTCAATCTGTATGTTCACTGTGATTTGATATCGTTTTTTTTGTTTCGAAATAGTTATTTTTATGTGTCTGTACCGAAAAGCGATATTTTACTGTTCCAGAATATTTTTAGCTGAGGCGCCAGTCGAGGCTTTTAAAAGAACGGCAAGTACAATAATAGGTATTTTCCGATTCAAATACTCTCACTATTTTTCGTTTGATCTATTGAATACCGTAAAAATAGAAGATTAAAGTTTATATATTTTGAATTCAGTTAGATATAACTGTTGTTGCCATAAATAATAAATAAATCAACAAATTTGATGACACCATTGTTATCATTTTGTAATTTATTTAGTGGTTACATTTAATCTTTCTAAGGAGAAATTAAATATTTCAAATGAATAAAATAAAATAAAATAAGCTAAAATCTGCTCGATTGTAACTATTTAATAATTCATTTACTGATGAAATTTAGCGTTTCTAATGGAAAATTTAAATGTTTTTAATGGTTAACATGGAAACAGATGAAATAAGCATTCTTGCAGAAATTGAATCTGCTAAATCTACTAATTATGTATATTATCAACAAAATTCAGAGAACGATACGTGAATACGTTTCAACGATTAAGTGGAATAAAAGAGAAACCAGAATTACAATACAAACATTTCTTTTCCTATTTTATACAAATAAGTCGAATTTTATATTCAGTGTCCATCATGATAATTATAGGCTTACCATAATTATGCAGGCCTAAGATGCACACACATTGCATGTATAATTATTAAAGAATAAATGAAGTTTTGATTATTTTCAATTATTTTTCACGTTCCCTTACACTTTTATAAAAATAAAACATTTCTACTAATGCTTTTAGAACAATTTTGTAATATTTTGAGCGTGAAAGTAATGCTGCGTAGATCGTAGAAAAATAATAATTTGAAATATCTTCGTTCTAATTGTAAGATAAACTAAAATTATTGACGCATATCTGACGAATTGTTTTCGCAAAAAGAGCCTTTACATTCTAAACGTCAACAGGATGTTGTTTCCAATATCGATCGTAATGAATTTTAATTCGATAAGAATAAAATGCATTAAGAGATGTTTACAAAGAAGGTGGAACTTTATTCTCAACGCAAAATTTATCCGTCCCATCTTTGGTTACGTTATTGCAATATTTTTCAAAGAGAAAGATAAAAGTATTTTAATGAATAAAAATAAAAGTAGAGTTTTTCGCGAAGCTCTTTCTTCTTAAATATAATCTCGAGTTATCAACTTATGCTTTGAATATTATCAATTAGGAATCTCTGCTGTTGTACATTTAATTGTAAAATTCCTTCTAAGGTAACAAGAAATACCGAGCAAATTCGATATCTCGAATTTCTAAGCTAAAGCTAAAGTTAGGATGAAAATGATATAATCCGCGTATCGACGAAACAACATTTCTAGTTGATGCAAAGCTGATCCAATCTAAATGATCCAAAGAAAATTGAATTATCGAAAACGATTTTAGCCAATGATTAAGTATTTCGTGATTAAGCGCTATAAGTTTTTAATGATCTACGGGAAAAATTGAATTGGATAAAATCTATAATATTTTATAAGAAATTTAATTCTCACACAATTAAATTGAATTTGATTTTTTTCATATTCGAAAACTTATCAAATTTCGATTATTGTTTATGAATACATTTTAACAAATACTGGAAATTTTGTTATATAAATTATTGAAATTAATATTATAGGGAATAAAATTGTGTTTCAAATGAGATCAAAATAATTGTTTATCATAATATTATCTGTGAAACCCTAATAACTCTTAAAATTCTTGAAACAACTCTTACATTTCAGTCAAGTTATGAAGAAATTTAAATATATAATTGTAAGATCAAAATAATAAATAATTAATCAAAAGTGACACAATACGGATCTTGTAATTTTGTGATATTTGATTTGCAAAATGAGTTTTGTCCGGTTATTGACGGTAAGGAATTTTAAAATAATATTTATCTCATTTGGGAGATAATATAATTATTTATAATGTTAATTAGAATAATTAATTAAATAATAAGAATAAAATTAAGAACATACTTTTTCTGATATTTATAAAAATGTATAAAATAATGATAATTGCGCTAATTTTTGTGAGAAAACATTTGTAGATAAAAATTTATTAAACACTTTTCGATTAGATACAAACCTATTATCAAATTTCAAAGTAAAGTTTATCATTTTAAGGTCAACCAGTACATGTATAATATGATAGTTACGTGGTTGTAAAGAAGAGAGATAAGAGGATTAATGTTATGGTTAAGGAAACGATACCATTTACGTAAGTTGTTATATACCTACATATAGAAAATTTCAGCAACAAGTTATCTTGGATAGTACGATCATTACGATTACGATTGCGATTGTGCTTGCGTTTGCGATTGTGATTGCGATTACGATTACGATTACGATTACGAGAATGATTTGGAATTGAGAACTCACCCTTAGGCGTTGGATTGCAATTATCTCCCAAATAGAAAGGACCTTTCCGAATGACAATCTCGTGTACGATTATTCCGAAACTGTAAACGTCACCTTTTTGAGTGCCTTCGGGTGGTCGCCTTTCCATTCTCAACAACTCTGGTGCTGTCCACAGTTGTCCTATTAATAGTAACATATTTATCTTTTATTTAAGCCAAATTATGCAGAAACTTTAAAACAATCAAAAAGATAGAAATAGAAATCTCGCAAAAAGTTACCAACTCATAGGAAAAATCTTACATTTACCATTAAACCTATTGACACTTCATGTATTGCTATTCCTAATGTGACTGACCAAAATGATCAGTTCCTAAAAATACATTTATACTTATTATAATTGAACACTAGTTAGTTCGATACTAAATTAAATAACATATGAAAGAATCTTAACAAATTGACCACAAAAATTGCATTTTTTCTTTCATTTTCATTCAAATATTTTGCTCTTTGCTATCCGCGTCGGAAAACTTTAGCCCGTCAGTTTTGCCAAATAGGTCATCAGTTTTTTCTGTGTAATCTTTAGTTTTAAAAACTTTCTATTCATCGAAATGTTTGTTTTCCTTATCATCGAAATCGAACATTTTTCGTATATTTTATTTATTTTGTCCGCTGTATTGTCTGAATTCTTGGATATTCGTTAAAAAATGATACGCTAAATCCGAAATAGAAACTTTACGTCGAAGTAGAATAAGTAACTTCAAATGTCAAAGAAAATACTTTAAAACTTTTATATTGTGATCTTCTCTCGTATAGTTATAAAATTATACTATGACACTAAATTCTACGGTCTGCTTACAGTTTTGTAATGAAAGATAGAGCAAAAAAAACCTTTCAAAAACAGCTCATTCAACTTTCAATTGGTTATGTCTCATTCAGATAGCCTACCATTAAAGGTTGTTACTTTTCTGTATTATAATACTTGGCTTACATATTACATTATACCATTTTTAAAACTAATGATCTATATACAATATCCAAACCATTTATTATTTCTACTATTTTCTATTAAATATCCCATTAAAGCATATTACACAAGAAAAATAAGAAATAAAATATAAATCAATAACACCCGATAAAAGAAAAATATAAAAATTAAATAAGTGAAAATTTGTTAACTAAGTTTATTCAAAGTTAATAGCCTTTTGCGTAACTTGACCAATTTATATTTCTTCCTTTACTTGTTTTTTTTTTTTCTTTATGACACACTGAGAATTGACTTTACTTACGTCTCCAATATGCGTAGCTACTTTTATCAAATTCTTCCTCTTCCATCAAACTGGACCTCCTCAATTCATGTAATCCAAAATCAGCGATTTTCAATACAAATCGAGAATCCACTACGCAATTGCTCGACTTTAAATTTCCGTGACTTTTGACCTCGGAAGCGTGTAAATAAGCCATACCGCGTACTATATCGTGGATAAGAGAGCCCCAAAATACACGATCGAGTTTAATCTGTTCGTTTTCCAGTATGTCCTATGAAACGATAAAAACAGAACTGACAATAACGTTCTATCCAATAAGGGAACCTATTTCTTCTTGGATAAATAAGATTTTCTAAACGATATTACTACAATCTAACCTGAAGAGATCCTTTAGGGCAATATTCCGTCAATAAACAACATTGTGGTGGTTCAACACAAGCACCATAAAAACGTACCAAATGATCATGTTGAAGATCTTTCATCTATGAAAATAAAAGTACGATTTTTTATTTTATAATCTTTAAAAAAAACAGATGAGTACAGAGTGACTCGCAAAAAAATTCGAATGAATAATTAAAAGATTGTTATATATGAACAATTACAAAAAATATAATATTATTTCGTTAAATATATTTTATTATGTAATATATGTAAATTTGACACATAAATTATATATTATATTTATCAATATTAATAAACAATTTAAATCTGAAGCGAGTTCACGGGTTTTGTTGAAAAATATAATTTTATCTAAAAACACGTGCATCAAATTTCACTATATGTTTTAAGGAAGAGGAATTTGATTTTCATTTCAGTTCGATAATGAATCTATTTCGAAGCTAGCATGATGTTAGAGAAAACGCTTAATTATAACGATCAACTTTTAGCCTTGATAATTGTTCTCCGAAACGGCATGCACATAATCGATAACTCACCCGTTTTAACTCCAGCAATAAAGGCCTCGATGGTTCCACTTTGTTCCTCGGTATTAATTTTATGGCAACCTTTGAGTTCTGCAATGAATTTCAAAATACTCCTCTTTGATCTTCTTTTATAAATTGATGATGAAAAGAAAAGAAAGATATGACTTTACGAAGCAATTTTTATACCGACGTTAGATAACTAGATATCGCAAATTTCATCGTCATCTTCTCCATCATATAATTATGTAAATGAATTATTTTCTCTATTTTTTTTTTTTACATCATTTATCATTTTTCTTCTTTTCTTTCTTACAAGCCAAAGTAAAGAAGTAAGGGTTGGGAAATAAATATTGGTAGGAAAAAATTCAAGGCGATAGGATTTAAGAGAAATGAAAGAAGAACTTTAAGATTGGAGTAAAGGAACAGAAAACTAAATATTCCCAACCGAGACATTCTATGAATACTTTGATCTCTAGAAAAGACGTCTTTAAAGGAAACTGAAAACTTACTTTGTAAAATCCTGTCTGAATATAAACGTGTTTGTCCACGCCCTCTGGTAGACTAACATTATCGTCGGAGTATACGGTCTGTAAAAAAAGAAAATAAAAGAAGAAGAAAGAAAGAGGAAAATAAGATGACCGAAAAAGATTAAATCCATCTTCCATTACCTTAGATGTGTGCTAAATCTCGATAAATAGCGAGATTTCATTAGAAAAGTAAAACGATTGAAGTCAAGTAAAAAAGAAAAAGAATTGAAAAGATGTTTAACTACGTTGACGATGTATTATTAATGACTTAAAACTATTTAGATCAAAAATTATGAATACAAGACTTGATATTAGTAGGAATTGGAAAATGATACTTACCAGTTGACTACTGCGTAACTTGTTCGCAACTAAAGAGTACATAGATCCTCTAGTTTTCGCGTGAGGTACCCAAATGATGTCGTCCCAATGTACTTTCCACGTCATGGAAGCGATTTCTGCTTCTAGTTTGAAGTGCCTAAAAAGGGGAAAGGAAAAGAAAGAAAAAGAAAAAGAAAAAGAAAAAGAAACATTATCCGAAATTGCGGATGTTAAACATAGTGTATTGAAAAAAAAACACTTCTAACGAGGGACCGATCTAATGTAAATTTGATTAAATAGAAAACGTAATGCAAGTACTGTACGTATTCGAGAAGAAAAACCCTTAGAAAAAAGGGGATCTAATTGGTTGGAACTAATGGCCCCCAACCTTACCTTTTTCCTAACGTAACTCTATACCACACGTATTTTCTTTATTGGTAGAAAAGATCTCATCTACTAATCCGATGCGTAACAAAAAAAGAAAGAACAGAACACGTCGAAACGAAATAGGGGAGAATGATAAGGTATTGGCGTAAACAAGCCATAGTGAACCTGCGACTTGGCAAGTTACGCACGCCCAGTTACAAATTTATCTTTTTTTTCGGCCACTTGACCAATTCGGGACCGATTGGGCTTATAAATATAATCAAAGATCGTATTAATGTTTAAATCAACCTGATGATATTTTTTTTTTTAGTCATCGATTTTCAACCAGCGCCAATATTGGGCCCGTTAAATATAAAAAACGGACGTATAGGAGCCACGAAAAAAAAGATTGAGTACCCCTGGTGTAGACAATCAAATATTATTTAATCCACGGTTGTGTAACCTTCAAATATATGGTATTACATACTTCAAATACTACAAATAAATAACTAAATAAATGGAAAAATATATAAATAATAAAATACTAGGAAATTAAAAAAACAAGACATTTCTCTATGTTTGATAAGCTTTAAAAATCAATTGTTTTTTGTTACAGACAATTATCATTAAACCACGAATATTTATGCGAACATATTTTTATAAAAAGAAGATACGAAAATGGGAAATAAGTTTGGTTGTTAAACGAATCTAATTACATTCCTCTTTTGCTTATTTTGCATTTTTCATTTGTTTTGCATATTATTTTGTAAATACTTATGCAAAAATATACTTACGTCGTTTACGTGTATCATATGTACTTCCATAATAGTTGTTTTAGTTACTGGATTTTCGAATAACTTTACTAAAATTAAAAATAACATTTTTTTAAAGTCAAAATGACTGATTTCATTCTGTAAAATACACAACAAAAGGTATATAATATCAAGTAATCCTCTAGAAAATGATAACAAATACTGTTCTCGAGTCGATACAATTGTGATTATCAATAAATGTATCGAAATACACACGATCTTATATTAAACATTACCAAAGGTGTAAATAATTGTATTATAGCAATTAGAAACAATAATAAAGGGATTAAAAAAAATAGTAAAAAATAAAAATTGAATATTTTACATATTTGCTAGACGTTTTTTGATTTCAATATATGTTTATATACTATCATATTTAAAGAGCATAAACATCGGCAGTATAGAGTCCGTATTATAAATTTAGAAGTGAATACAACTATGTTATCAAAAACTCTACTTTAATAACTTGAAAAATATCAAAGATGAGAACATCCTTAAAGTTTTCTTCTCTACAACGTACAGTACATAAGTGATAACAAGTTCTTGGTCGATAAGCTTTAGGAAGGAAAAGAACGATAAGTTTTGTAACAAGATTTGTAAGTTGGTTTTCGGTAAATCGAATAAGTCGAATGATTTAAAGGCGCTTGGGAATCACCAATGTCCAGACTTTCCATTTCCTTAACCTTTACGTGTACTTTCTATCTTTAGGGTTATTACTATTTTCTAGTTTTCTTTTATGACAATTATTTGTTAAGCCATTGCTAGAGCAAACTTATTATACGATTCGAAGTAAGTTGATCTCTTGAGTAAAAACAGGCTAAGGACATCTCGTTTGGACTCATGAACCTTCCTAAGCACAAGGGAGTACATTCCCTGTTCTTGGTATTTCAGTACGAGAGAACTTATGGATGGAGAGCTCGCGTTACTGCAAACTAGCTACATAATTACGTTCCAGTGTTCCTCATAAGCACATACCTGGAAACTCTGAACTCTGGACTGAGCTAGAGAAGGAAAGTAGTGTCATGATATCCATAAACAATATTACTACGAATTACCTTTTTTATATTTATATTTTTTCAAGTAATTATTCAGAACAGGAAATTTATTTTCTTAGTATAAATTTTGCTTGTAATTCGGACAGTGATAATCAATTGACGTAACTTTAGAATATATAGTTTAAATACTTTTTCAAATTCTTTTAATATTTTTCACCAATTCTAATATTTTTTCCTTAAATTCAATATAGCTTTTATATTATATTTATTAATAAATAATTTCTTTACCCCAATACGTCCAATCAGTCCTCAGACGGAATACAATAACGTGACTAACGCTGACAAACGTCAACAAGATTTTCACTTCATAATTCCCGCAAAAATGAATTTAAAATGTAGGTGAACTCAGGTTTCATTAACAACGGAAATGAAACGACATTTTTACGTCATTACGTATGTATATATTCATATAAAACATATATTTTTGGTATGCATAGTTGCATGCTTTAAGAGCGATAATTCCACATCATTTTTGTACATATTTTAAATATAGAAAAATGACAAGCCTAATATTATCACTGTTCAAAATTTGTACCAAGAAAACCACAGTAAACAATTAATATCAAAATCTTATTTTAAAGCATAATTTTGACTCCAATCGAAAATATGTTTACGCAAGAATTCACTTACCGATAAATAAAAACCGAAGCCACAACGAGAACCACTACGATCGAACTGAGAACAATCGAGAGAATTGCGTATCCTGGTAGAGCTGCGAAAGAAATCAACAAAATACCAAATAAATGTTACGTCATGTATTTTACGCGACATTAATTATTATATATGTAAAGGATGTCCTAGATAACCTGTTTCTTCTTATACCATGTAATATATTCAAGTTTGCTAAACTTTGGTTAAGTAGCGTCATAAAGTTACAAATTGGTGAAATAGCATTAGGTATAAAGTAACAAGTAAGTTAAACATTGTTATAGGGTAATAAATGTCTTTACGAAATGAAAAAAAGTACTTTGCTTATAAAACTACAAATTTCAACTGTGTTTAACAAATTATTTTTAACTACATTCATAACTACAAAGTATGTTACAATGCACAGAGTCATTTTGTTTAATACGATATGTCTAATTTTTAAATTATTTTTCTTACTGTATAAAATATGTGCTATCAAAATATTGTTTACATATAAATGAGAAATAACGTTAAGATATAAAATTTCATTGTTTTAAATAGAATATGTTTATAAATAATTTTCATTACTCATTTTTGAAATTTAAATTGCATATGCATTGAGTGAATCTGCTATTATCAATAGTTTGCGGTATACTGAATTATGCAATTAATACTTTAGAGGTGTTCGTTGTTACCCATACAACAATACGACTATTAATATTTTACTGTTTGTGGTCAAATCACAAGGTTCAGCATAACTGATCAAACAGCACTTCCTTTTCGATATTCATCTATTTTGATGACACTGAAATGAGGACGACGTACCATCGTGTAAAATCAATAGTAGCGAGCATAAATCTTAATACTTCAATACCTTGCATATCATTGATAACAAATTTATCGCGGCATTTGTATAATGCATATTTTATGCAATAACAGAAATAATTGCAAAAAAAAATAAAAATATTCAATTATTCAAGAAGAGTTTCACTTTAGGAATAAAATGGATATTCCATATTTTTACCACCATCTCTAATAAAAGTAATAAAAAACAAAGAAGAATCCACTTATGATTGAATAAGTACATATATTTAAAAAATAATGATTGACAGTTGAAATATATTTTTAATATTTTTTTTATTCTTTCCAGTGTAGCAATTAATTTGATTTCTCAAAAAATAAATTGCATAAAAATCGTTATCTCTTTTCGTCAAGAAATTTGGCTGTTGCCTGAAAAATAGACCAAAATCATTCAAAATAATGTAAACTATTCCGATGAATATAACAGATGATTACTTTATAAATAAATAATTTATTTGCTTAAAAGTGACCGAATAAATTGCTACACCTAATATATGTGCTATCGTTTCGTTCTTAAAATAAAACAAATTTTTTTGTATACATTAATGTAATTTATTTCTAATAAACCGTAGGTTCATAATGTTTTGATATTATTCATTCGAGATGTAAAATTTGACATACTGTCATACATAGAAGCATGAAAGATATCACACCTGGACTATCTTTCTGTCGAGGAGTGTATTTATATTCCATAAACTTTATTATATATTTTTTTCTATAGAAAATGTCAAGAAAAAAAATAGTTCATGTATTTAACAATAAGTTAAGAAATAAAGTTGATTAAAACACTTACAATTGTCCGGACAGAGCGATCCATCAAATCCACACGATGGGGTATCCGGGGGTGGTTCTGGTCTTCCACCGGACCAATGAATCCGTTTTCCTGTTATATACTCCAGTGTTTTATTCGCACCATAGTAATTTGCAACGATCTATAATGAACGATTGGACAAAAAAAACTATACAATAAAAGAAAAATCTACTCGGCTATCCAGTTTTACTGATTTTTACATTTATAAAATATTCTTCGAAAGAATTCGCTCTTGAAATTTAATTAAAATATATGAAAATGCTTCTCTTTATTTCAGTCACGCTGAACAAATTAAATCTCGTATAAACGCTTGAACTCTCGTATAAACTTGTGAGCAAGACAAATTTTAATCGATGCGTTAGCGTCCGGTTGTATGAAATTTATTTCAATTTCAAATAAAAATGTGTTAACGACACGATAAAAGAATTGTTCAATAAATTATTAAAAAGTATTGGGAAGAATTTTAGTGAATAATGTTTTTTTATTCAAGTACAAAAATCACTGATTTTATTTATTCTTCTAGCATAGAAGTTTGATCATTTATTATGATGAATTAACTTGTTCTTCATTATTAGTAAGGTAATAATATATATATGTTACCTCGAATTTGGACGTTTCTGGATTCATATCTAAAAGAGAATAATCCGCAATTCTGTCGCCGTTATCATCGATATTCACGTCTCCAGTAATTCCTGAAATAATTCTCTGGGTAAAATAATTATTATCAACGTTATGATACATTTGTTTGTTACAATTGTTTAATAAATAGTGTCCCAATTTTCTATATTAAATACTGCTGCTGAATATTTATATTTGAAAATATTATAAAAAGAATACTTTATAATGTAATTTATTTCGACATGAAATAGTAAAATCTTTCAATAAAAAAACGTGCTTTGTGATTTTATTCTTTTATATATAAAATATTAAACACATTTTATGAAATTTATTTTTAATATTATTATTCATTTTGACGTAAAATAGCAAACATCTTCAATTAAAAAATACTAATGTTATTTATTATATGTAGATGTAAGATACTCGAATTCTTCAAATAAAAAAATACTTTATTGTTACTTTAGTAATATTTAGATATAAGATGTCAAATATTTATTCCAGAAATAAAATTCCATATAAATTATAATAATGTCTGTTATTTACCTAAATAAGAAATACTAAACACTTTTAATGCAAAAAAATACTATTTTATTATTGAATAAAATATAAAATATTAAAAATACTAACATTACTTATATATTAAGTAACCCAATCAAATCTTCTAAAACATTTCTCTTGAAATATCTTTTTTCAAGATGATTTATACAATTTTGATTTAAACAAAAATCCAACTTCACCTCTCTCATAAGTTTATAGACTCACCTTTAAAACTTTTTCCCCACATTCTTCTTGTTAAATTACCACCATCAAGATCAACCTCACCCGGCTTTTCCGGTAGACTTTCTTTAAGTGCAAGAGCGTAAAGAAGAACAGCATCGTAAAATGCTGTGACAAACGTGGAAACAGAACTATTACCGAATGTAAAGTTGTATTTGCTTTGTGCCAAGGATTTAACTTCTCGCGAGAAATTTAAATATTCGAGATTATCAGGAGTACGTGCTGTTACTGTCAAGAGTGCTTGATATGCTTTCCTAGCTTTTTCATTCCTCTCATCCGTGTCACCTTCCAATCTCCATGGTTCTATTGAATTATTGTCGCTGAAAATAACAAAACATAAAGTTACTATCAGATGACATTACACGATAGAAGTGAAACAAATTTCTTTAGTTATTTCCGTCTATGCTTATTTTATCGACGAAATTTTCAAAGTATAAAAAGATATGAGGATACATTTCAAATACGCAATTATATAATAGAATACATGAATTGGCTAAGGTAAAAGAGCTCTCAAGCGTGCGAAAAAAAGCTACCTGGCAACGTATTTTCCTTCTCTTTTTGGTTTACCTTCGAGCCACTGTCTAATTGTGTCATTTCCTTTTGAAATAAAATATTATGGCTTGTCCCGGCTTTTCTCTCAATTTCTTAAGAATTTGTATACCAAGGCAAGTTGTAGTTTTACCGCGGAGAATTGTCTACACTGATTTATTTTCCCATCCCTATCTCACTCATTCCTACTATAAAACTATTGCATTTTTTCCCTACTCGCAGCTTTAATAATTAATAAAGTAAATAAAGAATGTATACATAACACGCGAGCTAAATGCTAATTAATATAAAGAATTGAGCGAATGGTAATAAGACCCTGATTAGAATATAAGGAAAGTGTTTATGTAAGCACGACTAAAATATTAACACGTTAACTGCCGCGCGCATTTCACGTGATTTCCTTATGGCACCTACATGAATTTTTTATTATGGGATGGACATTTTGTTGAAATTTTGTTCTATATCTTGATAAAGGGAGTTGTAGAATTGTGTTGGCCACTTTTGTGATTATCAGTTGTTTTAAACTGTCCAAAAATAGCAGTAGATTATAATTTACGGAAATCTATAGTTGATTTGTCTGATGAACCTCCACCAACTCCAAATTCAACCACGTTTTTTCCGATTAAGATTACATTAAATAGGAACACCGTGTACGTTACCGACGGATGGAACATCTACATATACACATTTATTCCCCTGCTTTTAACCATAGAAGAATTATATCCACCTGAAATAATCGACCTAGATTAAGTAACGCATTTTACCTCACATATTTACTTTGACTATCTAGGAGCGTAGTATATCCTAAAGGAATTTATTCATATACACAAAGGGAATCTTGCAAAAAAGAGAGATCACGTGGTGGAATGTAGGTACGTGTTAAAAAGGAATGATGGTTAACGCGCCAACGAGAAGAATTATCGGAGAAAAAACCTTTTCCCCCAATTGTCAAACATAAAAATGTACATTTGTACAAAATTATAAATAATATTCCGAATAGATTACACGTTAAATCATATTTAATAAGTGATACATAAACATAATCTGAATATTTTTATGATCCAGAAATGTATCATTATTTTTATTATATAATATATATAAATTTATGAAATAATTTATATATATTTATAAAGATCAATAAATAGCTTATTATTTTTAACAATAACTAATTGTAAGATGATTACTTTATAAACAACGGAAATATGAAATTATAAAGCTGTTTATAGCGTAGTATCCAAATATTTTTGGAAATCATTATACACTTTTCTTTTCTCGATAAGAAGAATAGTATTATGTTATGGGAATGAGAGAATAGAACGTTTTAACTAATACTAACAGACAACCTATATATAAGAAAACTCTATAAAGTATCGAGAATCGATCGTAAAAAGACACAGGATAGCAAAGGATCATATAATAACAAGCTTGTGTGATTCGAAACGACCATTATCATCCAACGTTCTGAATCTCTAACCTTCTTTTTTAAAAGCTCGTAAAATAACAAATATACCAAGAGTTATAACATACCACGTTACCACGTAATATACTGGTCTGAAAATTAAAAAGCATGGAAAATAGCTTGTTCACGTTATTACTTTGTCCTCGTTGAAAGGAAGTAAAATAGGGAAAAAAATGTAATAATTCAGAGATCCTCAATAACTTCATTTATATTGTGAATACCATAGAGACCAAAAAATGACTTTTCATTATTATCTTTGACAAAGTTTACTTCAACTTACCTAGATGAAAGTTCTATAGAGAAAAATACGTATTCTCCTGAATCAACCATTCCTAGTTCCTCAGCTGCTAGTAGGATTTCTCGGATGGTGGTTGAGTTTGCGCACATGACTACAACTGAAACAAAAGTTGTATTAACGAGCAATTAGCGTCATTAGTATCAAGTAGTGGATAGATTCTATATCAACGAGACAAATATTGTATTTTTCTTTGATTACTTTTTTAAAGATGTTTTTCCTAGTCGATTTTCGAAAGAAAAAGATGACTTAAAAGTATTACAAAATAAGAAAAATCAATATCTCACTATCATACATTAAGATGAATTCTGACGTAATAGTTAGACAAGTCACCGTGCGTGTTATAAACATTTACTCGTACGTAAAGTCGTAAAAACATTTTATGATTGTTGATGTCATATTGGTCCCGATCAGAAACCAACTTTTCAAAACGACGCAGAGTGTTTCGTTTAATGGATACAAATTTACAATTTTCAGTTTTTAAAACGACTAAAATTTCAATTTTGAAATATTAGTAACAATTCTTAATATTACATCAAATTTTTAACGAATATATATATTTAATAATAACATTGAAAAGTAAAGTTTAATATCAAAATCAATATAGTATTTTTCTATATCCATTTATAACTTTTAATGAATATGTCTATTTATTGATAAAATTGAATGATGAAAGTTTAATGGAAAAATCAGCAGATTATTTCATATTCACCTGTAACTTTCAATTTATTGGTAAAATCGGATCATAAAGTTTAACACGAAATTCCATGTTAGTACTTATTATTTAAAAAACGTATACAGTAAAGAATATTTTATTATTGTAAGTTTAGTTTAACTCATCAAAAATGTCTATAATGTTATATAACCTTGAAGTCACGTACTCTATACGAGTATATCTATATGTACTTTAAAGAACTTATTTTACTTTCTCAAGAGAAAAATATTACAATTAGATTAAATCTCAAAAGTTAGTTTGTCAACTATAAGTAATACTCCGTGTAATATAATTATGTTAATATAAATTGTATTATAAATTTTACATTAGGTAAATGTTTTTTTAGATAAAAAGTTAATACTGTATCAACTTTAAAATTTATGAATTATTTTAATAAAATAAAAAACAAACTTTTTAAATTTTAATATTGAATTTATACACAAACTTTGAAATGATTTAAAAAAATAAATCTTCGTAAGAACCTTTATCATTTTTATATATTATGTACTACTTGTAGACATATTAAACTTACATTCGAGAAAAATTAATTTTCTTAAATTTTCTCTAAAATAAACAAAATAATGGAAATTGTTATTCATTAGAAATGTTTATTTACTTTAATTGAATTAAGAATTTTTATATAATTCTGAAAAATACAAACTTTTTCATATTGATAATTAAAAATTTGGTATTGTTTTTAACATGTTCAGGGACTTCATAAAATTGAATACAAATTATAATTATAAAAAAAATTGTAAATCAAACTTTTTAAAGATCAAATCTGTTACTAGAAAATATTTTTGTCCATATATAAACAACACCATCAACGGTCATTAATTATTGAAAAAATATGTATATATACTAAAGGTAAAGTAAGAAAAAAAAAAGAAAACCAGATTAGACAGAAAAAAACTAAAAAATCTAAAAAGAAAAAGTTTCTTTCTTTTTTCTTTTTTCTTTCTTCCCTTTAATTCAATAAAAAATGTAGAAACCCCTAAGATCCCTCTCTCATATCTTGAAACTACACAGATAACTTGAATTGTAGCTTCCCTTTGTAGTCGAAATACCGTTCCCATCGAAAGTAACTCACAAGGTAAAGCGAATTAGTTGTTTAATAATAAAGAAACGTGCATAAAGAACACTTTACGCTCGCATAAACTGCATTCATTTTACGAAAGCTTTGGGAAAATAAATATATAATATATATGAGTAAACCAAGGCGAAATGTAAGTAAAATAATGTTGGAGTAGAGGAAAACGCAATGAGGAAAAAAAAGAAAAAAAGAAAAAAAGAAAAACTGAGTATGTAGGTAAAGAAGAAATGAAAAGAAATGAAAATAACGCCTTCGAGGGATACGAAGAACACTTACTCCTGGCAGATTTTGACACAAAAAGAAGAAGATTCCTGTAGTCCTCGGCATTAGTTTTTTCCTGATTGAAGCTTCTGTGAGCTGGTGTTTGATTCAAAGCAGTAAAGACAGCACCCAATGTGAAATGACACTCGGAGTTACCACGACTGCTTGCCATTGCATGATTATGATACAACAATCCAGCAATTTTCCAACCAAATCGTTGAAGAATGTGTCTTAGTGCTTCGCCGACCAAACGATGGCTGCCCATCATTCTGGTCAAGGTCGGATAATGTTCATCCTTGTGACGAAAGGCCTCGGCCTGAGCACCTGCCGTTAGCACGGGAATCCCCCATACGCCAGCGTATCTTGCAACTGGTGCGATTACATAGTCGCAAACAGGACCCAAAAAGGCATCTGTTTTTATTAAAAACTCACTCATCAAGAATTCGATAATGACGAGATTATAGTTCGTGCCTGTTTCCTTAAAATAATGCTTTCTCTCTCTCTCTCTCTCTTTCTTTCGAAACATTAAAACAAACATTTTCGATTCGAAATTGAAAATAAAATTGAAGTGAATGATACGATAAACAGGTTAGTATATAAGATGACTCACAGAAAAAGGTCATTAATTTAGGGTATGATTTTTTAAGTCATGCTGAATAAAAAATACATAATAAAAGTAATACAAGTATAGAATAGTTTTTTCTTGGTGTACACAAGTGCTGTTTTGACTCAATTTCAATAATCTGCATATACTGAGCTCATAATTTCGCTACATTATTATTTACACACACAAAGTTGTACACCCGTCAGTAAGTAATAAAAGATTTATCAATTTGAGGTATGATTTCTGAAGTCATATTTAATAAAAAAATATTGAATAATTTGTATTTATTATACAGATACAAAATTAATCTTGTCAATGAAAAATTTATGACCAGAATACCAATTTGACTAGTGTTGTATGAACATAATGTCCATTTTCTAACAAGGATTTCTAACAAATTCATTTATTTACTACGACTAAATCCACAAATCTTATCCCCTTAAACTGTTATCTCTAAGATTTAATGAAGAATCTGATTTACAAAAGAAATGTTGAAACGAGAAAAACATTAATCAAACGTATTTTGGACGGCGGACGCTGCATATGGAACAGTCATAATGAACTTTTGAACTTTTGAACTCTATATGTACAATTCATACATCAGTACAATAATCCCTTCAAGTAAAAAGTAATGCCAACTATCATTCACTTAGATATCATCGACTTAGATGTCAAGAACACAAAAAGTATCGAAATGTAAAAACGTGAACTGGATTTTAGAGGCTTCCTGTCTTAGAATGTAAGTTATGGTGGTTAAATCTTACATTATCTATTTTCTTCGAACTCCAGCAACTATTATACTGTAACCGTTCAAAACTAGACCCTTATTCCTATGAACCTATTAACTGTCTTAAAACATGAATTATTGTAATGAAATTTTACATTACATATTTAAGTGAACCCAACAACTATTACACTACAACAATTCAAAAACGAAACTATCTTATTTGTATTCAAATGAATATTTTTCTTCAAAATAGTATAATAAATCACATTCCAAAGTACTCCCAGTATAATATTCAGGTAGATAAAAGCAATATGCAAAAAGTCTTCGGAAGATAGGGAAATCATATAATAAATCGTAAAAGAAAGTTAAGCATGCCAACGCGAAGGAAAACTTCTTAATTAAGTATCTTCGTATTTCTTTTCTTGTTACTTTTTCTTCCTAATTAACATGAAGCTCTTTGTATCGCGTTTCGCTGCCAACGTTGAAAATGTTATGCAGGCAGTTTACAATATTTCATATAAGGTGTAGAAACAGTGCAATAAGGTCTTTGAGATGTATCCAATTAAGTTCGTTTCTATCTTCATCGATCGTTCTATGTGATCCACAACGAAGCTCGTATTGGCTTCAGTGACATCATTGCGGCTAGGTATTTCGGCACAAAGTGGTTTACGCTCGATTAATGTACGCCAAGCTATTTGGCCTCGACGATACAAGAACAAATAGGCAACCCCTCTTATGACCAATCCCATTTTGTTCAGATCGAACAGCCCTACTTGCTAACTTCTTACCTATCTTTCATTACATATAATCAAGATTTATAAAGTACCTTTATCAAGAAAACTTTTCTCTTAAAACTAAATTTATTATACTATGACTGGTCAAATAATTGATTTTAGATCTTAGATTAAAATTTTGTATTCAGTATTATTGCATATATATATATATATATAAACATTATTTTGTGTTAAAATTTAAGAATTTTGTTACTCATTATTTGGACTTGTAAATATCTAATTGATTATCATTCAATTGTAAGATATATAAATTTTATTTGAAAAATCGGTTACGGTAATAAATAAATAAATTGATTTAATATTTAAAGCCGATAAAGTTTCGTTTGAATAACCGTAAATACTTTATCAAAATATGAAATTTTCCAATTCGATAAATTTTAAACGTATCACGACTGATCAATTGACCCCTTTTTGAATTATCGAAATAAACATTTTTCATTGAATGTTATTACTTTTCTTCCATTTGTTTAACGGTGATCATAATTATAAATATTGTTTTCTTATTATCTAAAAATTGTTTCATACATTATTTAGATCAATAAGTATCAAATTGTCTATTATTTACACTCAACTATAAATAATATAATTTTTATTTGCAAAACTGATTACGATATAACTAACATAAGTAAAGTTAAAAGCCAGTAAACTGTGGCTAAAGTAGACAATAAAGTTGTACACCTGTAACTGTGATATACACCGCAATAAAAAGTCATGAAATTGAATGTAAATACTTTAAATGAATACAAACAAATATTATAGATACGGTAGGTTTTAGGTTTAGGATAAACACAATATCTTCCATTAATATTGTAAAACTGCCTATATTTATTCTATTATTTCCACGAAACCTCATCATATTGTATTTACTTTACAATCCATTTTTATCTTTCCACATCCCTCTCACTTGTTCTTTCCTTTTTATCTTGTGCTCTCTGTCTGTTTTTTTTTTCGGGACAAGAACAATAAAATATCGCACAATGTCGTAGAGGGAACATATACCATGAAATATCGCATGTCTAAAGCTTCTCATACGTGTATAGCATGTAATATACACTAACCAAGCCTTTTTTGCGAAAAACAACCTTTTGGTCGGGACAAGGATAATACATTTTTCTCACGTATACCTTCTTCCAACAGTACAATCTCATTATAACTTGTTTTAAGCTTATATCATCTTTCTTCGTTCAAAAATTACATGTGTTGTTTAAAGAAATATGAGAAATCAAATGAACAAATCTTTTATTTTTGATCAGTTTTATTGAAGGCAAAAACATTGCATTTAAAATAACTCGGAAAAATATTCTAGCACTGTGGTATGATCAATATTATGATTTCATAACTTGATTGTCTATTCAGTAATTATCCTAGTTATTGTTTTTGGCAAAATTTGGCTAAAATTCAAAATGTGCCTTTAAGAAAATTGTAAGCGCATATATTTTACCGTCAAACCTACCCTAATGGATAAAACAATTTAAACGTACGATCTTTTCAACATAAAGCTTCGCCTAATAGAATTGACAACCTGATTGAAAGAACATTTTTTTAACATTATAAACATATATGAAATGAATTATGTTGGTTGAAAGTGAAAATTCCTACAAGATTCCTCATATTAATAAGATAAAATTCGTTGAGGGTCGGAATAAGTCCTAGGAAAAATCTGCTTTCCTTTCGATCAAAATTACTTTCTATTTAAAATTCTTTTTACTAGAACCAAAGTGATTGCTTTATAAACAACCGAAATATAAAGTGAAAAAGTTAATCATACTATAGCGTTGTAATATTTTGTTCAGTTACTGTACATATCGTCGATGAATTTTTTGTCTCCATCAACTCTGACAAGAAAAATATACATGCACATAGACATAGACAAAAATCATATTATCTTACGGATACGATATTGACAGTCATATAATTTGAAAAGTCTTCTTTTTTGTGGTTTCCTTTTTTTATTTCCCGGACAAATCGGGAGATCGTACATTTTAATTTCGTAATCTCGATTCATCAATATGCCCACGCTGATTAGTCAGTTCGTTTGTAGTTTGCTACTTTCTCTTTTCTCTTTTTTTTTAGATACCGTACTGTCAATTTATACCAGCAAATCGAACGCAATCGTTATTCAATCCGCGAGCCCTTCGGACTAGCTATCTACAAATTCGATTCTATATATAGAATACCCTATATATATAGGATGTCTCCAAAATCATGGATCAACCTGAAAGAGGTGACAAAGAAGATTATTTCAAACAATAGAAATCCATAGTTATAGTTAATTGATTCATCATCGTTTCTATAATACCATACAGTGACCATCAAATTTGCCAAACATTAACTATGGACTCCTTTTATAGAGTTACTTTAATACTAAAATTACTGAATGTCCTTTTAAACGTATTTATATCGTAACCATTCAAATGGCAGATCTTTATCAACAATTAAATTTTGTATAATAGAATATAAATAATAGTCAATTTTAGTATTGGATTAAAAAATAAGTAGGACAATTAGTTGATTTCTTATTATAGGATTAATTTAACACTAAATCTATGAAAAATTCGTTTTTTAAGAAGAATCAAAGAAAACTCATTTGCATTACCAATTTCGTATTGAAGCAGCAAGAAGACATTCGAGAAGAATTTGTAGAAAAAAAACAGCTGCATGTTTGTGTAAATAAAGTAAATCGTCCTATTGTTAATAAAATTTTCCATTAGTATCGAAACGATAAGTACATTTCCCAAGTGAAAAAATATGAAATGTTTGAAATCGTGAAATAAATCGAAGAACGGAGATAATTTTTCGTGAAAGTTTGAAGACAACGAGGAGAGATAAACGAGGAGAGATAAACGAGGAGAGATAAACGAGGAGAGATAAACGAGGAGGCACCCTCGAACTAGAAGACGAATGTAAAGGGGTGAGAGTTCAATTGACTCCGGTATGGATGCGGAGGAACAGGGGAAAGCGAAAGAAAATGAAAAGGAGAAAGGGAAGAGTACTGGGAGGTTTACTTCGTCGTCATATACCAAAGGGGGCATTTCGAGAGATCGAAATAATTAAGCGTAATTAAGAGAAGGAATTTGTGTGCCGATAATAAGAAAGAAAATAGTAGTCGTCTTTGCGAATTAGATAACCAAGCAAATATATAGTGAATAGCCAAGCGCAACTGGTCAACCCAAGTTATCCAGACTCTCTCATGTCAGAGTAAACTCGGCTTTGGTTGATTGACCGGACAACCGTCTTGCAGAGCTCCGTACTCTTTGACCGATTCCTCTTCTTTCTTATTGTTCCTTACGAGTTTACTTACACTCGAAAGAGACAGCCTGCAGCTGCGAGCCCACCGATGAAATGGACTTATAATGACGTCAATTCTTTATAAAAATAGGGCCGAGTTTGCTACGCGTAGCACGGCTTTAAACGCGGAACGAGGACCAATTAAAACGCAACGGACTCTCCTTCGTCTGCCTTTCTATCATATTCTTCATCTCCATTTTTTTACATTTATTTTCTCTCTCTTCCTTTTCTTTTCTTTTTTTCTTTACTCTTCCCCTCTATTTATTTGTCTTTATCTTACTCCTTCTAATGGCACTTCTTAGGAAGAAATAAAGTAAAAAGGCACATCAGTCGGTACGAATTAATTGACATCGGGCTCCGAAAGCACGGTATACTCAGCCCATCCATATATTCCATCCATATATTCCATACTGCAACACGATCAGCTTGGTAGTATATCTAACGATCTCTCTTGGGGTTACTGCACCGAATCAATGGGTAAACGAGATCACCGACAATAAACGTTATTTTCATCGCGATATACACCCGATTAAAACGGGACAACCTATGAATACGTCCTATGAATATGTCCTATATGCATACCTATATTATACATACATACGTACATACACGAAATCGTATATATATACCTCAACTACCTACGCGTTCGTCCTGATAACCACGTGAAATTGCACTACTTTCAAAGGGAAATATCGAAGATACGCCAAGTACCACAGTTTTTTTCATTAAACTTCTTTTCCATGCGCGTCCGTCCAAAAGCACTTTTTAACATTTTGTATACGCGACGAATGGTATTATACCGTACGGACTAAAATACGACAAAATAATGTTTTTTTTATGAAATGATTCCATACATTTGTTCTTGATGTATCTATGCTGAAAAAACTTGTAGCGACGGGTGACGAGCATAGTCAATGACTAGTGGAAAATTTGAGGAAGAAAATAAGATTAGAATAATGAGAGAGAAAGAGAGTGAGAGAGTGAGTTTTGACGCAGCACAAGGAACTCCTTTACAATCTAATGATAATTTATTAGAAGGAGTTACGGCTTGATAAAATGAAAAGGCGCGATAAAGAGGAAAAAATAAATATTAAATGAAATGAAGAAAAGACGAAGATAAAGGGATAAGAAGAAAGTAGAGGATCCGAACGACCTGCCGTCTGATTGATGTAAAACTCGAAGGCAGCCAATGGTCCGTAAGTGCTGGAGCAACGCGAATCTCGGTGGTCGACCTTTATGTTCCATCCTGGTAGGGGCCCTTTTGCCGAGCTAACAGCTTTCACAGCCAAAAGTACAGCGGGTAAAACCCTAGGCAAACTTTGTTCGTGATGCGGATCACCAGGAGCTATCACGGCGAGCTTCACTTCACCCTTCGATTGTTTTCGAACACCGAAACACTCCTTCGAGTTTTGCACTATTGTTCTTTCATTTACAGGAAGAGCAGAAGAAGCATCACCGAACGTGCCAAGGGCAGTTAAAATAAATGTAGTATGAAGAAATATAAAAAGAAAAGGATCAAGGCTGCCAATGAATTTTCGTGTAAACGAATTCACTGCCATATCTGCTGGATCAACAAAGATTTCTCTTCTTTCATTTATTTGCTTTTATTACTTTTTTCCTTGCAGATATTTATCTTATTTTCTTACAATAACCCCACCGAGTTAGATCGAGCGATCGCGTGTATTCTCCTCCCGTCGAACAATCCCACTTTCCCTTCTCCCCTTTGTCGTAACCGAATATTCGTGGCATCATTCACAAATAGAAAACGATTTGAACAGTTGTCTAGATGGATCATCATTCTTCTTCTCAATTCTTCTTCTCAATTCTTCTTCTCAATTCTAATCTTCCTCCTTCCGTTTCCTATGTATTCTCGATGCCCACCCACGCATGATACGTGGGATAGAATTCACTCCTCGTCGTCACGTGCTTCGCAGCTGACGAGGAGGACGCATCTCAACCATAGACATCACCAAACACTACCAAGATCATTTTCAATCTATTTATCCCTTATTAACACAAATTTCCCATACTCACTGTTTTCTCAAACTATTTTGACGAAGAATAAACAATTTTGAAAAAGAATAAATAAATTCAATTGAAACAAATTCGTATTTACTTGTGTCATGTATTTTAATAACGATTATATTGGAAATAGATTTTCTATTATATTTTCATCGTATGGTCATTAATGAGATTTGATTGTTGAAAGAAATGTATTATAATTGGAAGATAAAATAAAGTCGTAAGCATCCTTAGATATCAATGATATTAGATGCGCTCGGAACGCGCGCGCATTACTAACTGAGAGCTGACGAGGGCGAAAGATACCACGGGGATCTGAATTGCCCCTCGAAGTCGACGAGATCGTTCCACCACCACCATCCTATCCACCTACAACCATTACCAACACCAATATCGAACATCAACATACCAAATACTACTGCAATCTATAGCAATCGCATTTCCTCAGACGGCAGATTTTAATGCACGTTCTACATACACAAATACCTGGATAACAATGTATTATTCGCTTACGCACACTTATAAACATTACAGTTCCTCGTATGTAAGTTTGGCGCATGCGTCTGATATTGTCCACCCTTCCATTGAAGGTGGAAAACCCCTCCTGTTAAATCTCACCGTATTTTCGACGCACCATTTTTCTATACTTCGTTCAATCCCAACCTGTCAAAGATCTCGTATTTATACTTCGATACCGAACGACCATTCATTTTTTATTTCTCTATGAAATTGTTCTTTAACAATTGTTACTTTACTTTATATCTATTTTATAATGAAACTAATACATTTGATATTTTTTCAAATAAAATTTCATGAAAGTTTATCTACAGTAATTGATACTTTTTTCATTGTTTATTTATTTATGAAACGTTAGTTATGAAATGTTATTCCACTTTATATCTATTTAATGTATATAAGTATATTCAATTTTTCTTTATATGAGAAATCTTGGAAAAATGTATCTGCAACAATTAATACGGGAATCGATCTGACAACTGGGCCTAAATACACAAATATGTCATATAATTCAATGTAGATACTAGTGTAATAATTTGGTACTAGCTTAAATCATTTTTCCGGTAATTATAATAGTAGATTAAAATAAAACATTGAACGGAAAGTAAATTATATAATTTATGTTATAATATCAATATTTTGAGTAGAAAATAATAAGAAATATCGTCAGTTCTTTTATTTAATTTACTGCTCATAATTATTAATATAATTAATAAAATAATGTTTAGTCAAAATGATGTCAAATCTATAACATTAAGTGGAATAACTTAAAGCTAGGAGTGGTGGACCCATGATGTTTCGTGAATAGAGTATGCAAGCTGTCCTTTCTTAACATAAAAAAAAATGACACGTGAGGAATCCTCTTAAAATTGTAATTCTGAAAATTTAATTTAATACCTAACGTACAACGAGAATAATCAAATGGCCGGCTCTAAATTGAAAATAACAAAATCTGCGTTCAATGTTATTATTTTTCTAATAAAATATGAAAATAACATATGCAACATAAGCTTTGAAAATGTACGCAGAAAAATTTCATAGAATATTGTTCAGATATTTTTAAGCAGATATTTCCCAACTCAAAAAACAACATGTAAGGAATTTTCATAAGCGTTTATTCATTGAAATTTGATTCTATAAGCTTCAAAACGACATATTTGATATCCGTTAAAAGGATCTACGCAGACAAATTTCTTAGAATTGTTTTTCACATATTTTCTAGTTGATTTTTCCTAACACGCAAAAAGTGCATGTAAAGAATCCTCTTAAACGTATACTCTCTGAGATTTTATTAAATTCAGTTTCAAAGTGACTAATATACGAGATCAGCTTGGGGAACCTATAAGCAAAGTTGCTTATGTCGTAGGTTAAGCTTCGAACTATCCTTGTAAACTTTGGCTTGCTTAATGAGCGTAGTTTATATGACTACCGATTGGACTAATGAAAATTAACTCTACATTCTAAATTCAATTAAATCGATTTTAAAAACATTCACACGTTTTCTAATTTTCATTGTCATTTAACCGTAATTCTAACATTTTTCGAATTCAAAATAATTAATAAATGGATTAGGCCCAAAACTTCAAACAAATAATTCATTTTCAAAATCATCAACGCAAATGAACACAAAATATTCATCTCATTAATATAAACGATTAGCTTTATTTCCTGAAAATGACAGTAATAAAGAAAACACAATGAACACATTTTATGAAATTTTCCAAAATTATTATATTGATTAAAAAATAAGGGAAATTTATATAAGATGATAGAATACAATTTTAGTAGATTAGATTGAAAATACATCATTGCATTTATCGATGAGCACATAGAGAAAAATAGCAGAATTAGAGAAAAAATATTTGCTTGATCAATTGTGTGAAAATAATAGATTTCGGTAGTCGATAAACTTTATCCCAGAATGACCGATCATCGTTTTGGTCAAAAGCACACGTATTATCGACTATCGATAAAAAGAATACCTGATCGATAAGATAATAAGAATTGTGAAAAGAAAACGTTTCGTTCTCTAGAAACATTAAATAAAGCAAGCACGTCAATAATGATAGGGTACAGCATGTTATTCGAGTTCATTAAGGACACGTTTAAATATAGATTTTTTGACGTATTAAAACACGCCGTATCAAGATGATTGATATCGAAGGGTATCAATAATAGAGATGTTCAACCACTACGCGAGATAACGATGCCCGATAAAGTAAGCGAACCGATAATACAAACTTATGTTAGTCTAACTGAAATAGAAAATTTGATAAGAGTTTAAACATATTGTTAGTAACCGTTAAATACTTGTGTTATTTTAATCTTTTTTATAAAGCTCTTTGGTAAAGCATTACTTGCTTCTAACGACAACTTACCAGCTTGGAAATCTTTCTTGAGTTGATATAAAAGACGGGAAAAAGAAAACAAATGCGCATCATTTTCTATTTGTTTCGATAGTACTTTCCCTCTTATCACGAATTACATGAAAAAAAGATCCTGCTTTTAATCCACTCGAAATGATTAATGTATATTAAGAGAAATCGTGCTTTGACATGAAAATCTGTGACAATAAAACGAGCTACTGGCAAGTCATTTATTTTCTGAAGTGATCTTAATTACCTCGACGGTGAGGGGGAATTTAATTTATCATTTATAAGAAAATGACGGCAGATAAATATGAATAAATATTAGCAGTCCGGTTCTATCTTGTTGGCCTAAATAAATCTACTAAGAAATAAACGTATAATCGCTTATATTATTATGTACATGCAACAAATTGTCATTCACATTCGCGATAACACACATATTGTTGGTTAATATGCGTATATAATCTTTGTCTGAGTCCTATTTTTATAAGATTGATAGAAAAATATTTACTGTTTTTATTATTTACTATTTCGTTCTTTTAATGCTTTCTATGTTTTGGGTTACCTGAAAAACTTTTGCTGATTTATAAACAAATATATTTTCATTTAAAAATATTTCAATGAAATAAAAATGAATACAAAAAGTGTAGTATTAAATATATTTTTAAATCAAATTATAGATATATATATATATATATATATATATAATCATTTAATTATAACATTTATAATAACAACTATATTATATTAGATCAATAAGTATAAAATGTTTGATCTCTAATCAAAAGTAATCGGAATAATTGGGCGTTTCATACTTAATTCAATAATCAAATAAAATAAATCAAAAAGTCAATGTTTAATACTTGTTTACTTACTGTTAGCTCATATTCATAATTACCGAGACGTAATATATAATAAATAAAATTGAATGATTTCTTTAAATCGACACAAACTTTCCTGGCAACCCAATAATGATATTCAAATGATGCACCATAGTATAAAAAGTGAAATATTTTTACCACTAATTTTTTCATTATGTTATTAATTTAAGTGTTTAGTATCAAAGAATTGAAGTTTTCCAAAAATTATGAAAGATAAGTACATTCATGTGATATTTTTGTAAAAATTTCAATTAGTTCATAAATTAACGGAAATTCCCCGAAATCTAAAGTACGCAAATATGTTTACTAATAATTTTTCTTTTGACTAGTTGTCAAATGTTTCATAACTGTTAGTATTGGAGTAATAATAAATATTATATAATGTAGAAAAAGAACAAAGAAGAGAAATTTGATTCGCTTACCGCCATAAGAGTTGCCGACATGAACTTTCAAGGTTTCCAAATAATCCTCCGGCATGGTTGTTTCAAAATCGAAATTGCCATAAATAAAATCAGGTTCCATTCTGATAAATTCGACCAATGATTTCATCATTAATTGACAAGTATGTCGGCCAGCTACTTGTCTTTGACCATTCGTTGCATAAAGCAAATGAACTTTTCTCCATTGATGACTAAATTAAATGAAACATATTTCTCAAAAAAGATCAATTCTGTATAATGAAACAGGTATACTCAATCCTCTTATAACATGGTCAATGCATACTGTGTTATGTCAAAATCATGTTAAGAGAAAACGAAAATTAGTGTACAAATCAATGAAATGAAATGAATGTTAATTTAATTATCCAAATGATTTAACTCGTAGTACAGTATCGATTTAAATCGCGTATTAAATTGTTGTAGGGGAATAAATTCTTGGTATTTGAGGGTATTCCAAGTTGATTGAGTCGTGTTATATGGAAACCGTATGATAAATTGTCGTTAGGAAATGAATTTCGTGGTATTTGAGGGTTGTTCAAATTGATTGAATCGTGTTATATAGAAACCGTGTAATAAATTCTTCAAATGTCTGCACTGCGTTTTATGAGAATACCATGTTATAAGATGATTGAATGAATGTTAAACGATCTGATACTGCACTTACTAATTCATAATTTCTATAAAAAACTTAGATATATCCCGGAATGATACAGTCCCCACACGAGTGGTCATAAAATATTCGTCCTTGCATTCCTTCTTTGGCACTGTAAAATCGAAAGTAAATCCCCCTGTTGTGATCAATGGAGCACCGAAAAATTTCACAACTCTTCCAACGTTGGCTGAAAAATAATTTGTTTTTCTATCGTTAAATGAAATCGAAAATTCGAAAATTAATATTTCTCTTGTCTAGTGTAACTTATATGAAAGTTAAAAGAAAATAAATTGAAGAAAATGTTGAATTTAATAAAAATCACTTACCGACGCAATAATCACATGTTGGTCCGAGAAATAGATGAACACAATTTGAGTAACTATCGATCGCACCGCGTTGTGCGTAGGTCGCATCGCACCGGTCGTCTTCGAATAAAAACGTTAGATTCAACCAATGTGGCAGCAAATTCTGAGCTCTGGCATTGTAAACTGCCAAATCTTACATAAATAAATAAAGAAGCAGTCAAAACAGAGTAAGAAAGATTGTGGAACAAGTTTAGAAATAAATTGTAGTTAACACTTTCGTCAAGGGTAATACGATCCTTACGTTATTTAAGAATCTATCACTGATAATAGTAATTAATCGCCATTGCTTTTTAATAGTATTTCCAATGATAAATATTTCGGGGAGAATTTGAAAGAACAAATAATTCTAGGCAATATTTGCTTTATATATTCGTATAATCTTCATTTAAATAATAAAACTAAATGGATGAAAAATATGGTGATCTTACCCAAAACAGGTAAAACTTTAGGTAAAGCTATTTCATATTGAGGGTCTGCAGGTAACATAACAACGACACGAAGTTCACAGGAGAAAACACCAGTTCTACTTGTATTACAAAGTGCTTCGCAATCTCGTGGCAATTCAATCTCCCGACAAGTGCTCTTTCCAATTGCGGTTTGACGGATGAACAACAAAATTGTTATTAATGTAGAGATCCAACATGAGATCCCCATCGATGCGAGCTAATCGTTTTAATCCAATGCTGATGATTATACAGCAAAGACCAATAAAAACAATCAAAATATGAAGATTATGTAGAAGTTAACTGTTGACAGTTGCTCGACTGATAATCGATCAATATTCTTCGTCATTTTATTTTCTCAAATCGTAGAACAGTTACTTCTGTTACATTTAAATACTCATTTCCACTGGTTTACCACCTTTTAAAACGTTACGATTAACGCTATCACCATTGGATTATCTCGATCGTCAGTCTGTTTTCTCGATTCTATTTCTGTTCTTCCGGCGAGTTACTCTTCGTAGATTATATTTTATACCAGTTAAAAGATGATTTCAGGAAGTTAGTCGAAAGATGTAATAACCCCCAGACGCACGATCGATCTCGTCTGCATAGTGACACAGCCAAGATCGTAATCCAGACGTCTTCTTGATCATTCTCGAGTGCCGGAAAAAGTTTACACTTTTTTTTCTCTTATGAACAAATATAATGTCGATCATCTATCGTGCAAAACTAAATTCAATCCTTAAATTATTATCATTCCGTCTAAGCAAAAAATTCTTCACTACAAAATACGAAATTTTCAATTTTGAAATGTTAACAAATGTCCGAAAGTAAACGTATGTTATTTTTCATATACATGGATACGTCTGATAACACTTTTTGGTTTTCTTCAAAAAAATATAAAAGACGCTCGATTCGTCGTAATTAAAAGATATGCAATCAGGTGAGTAACATATAATAGCATTTTTCCTTTTCCTTCATTCCGAATCGTGCTCCAACTTAAATATGACAATGATGACTTGTAATGTTGGTACTGATTATTGTACTTTCCAAATGATATGGTAAAAGATAACGTTTGAATCTTCCTTGTCCTTCTTTTCACTCTTTTTCTTTTATTATCCTTATCTCTGAAAGATATTTAAATAAAAACAAATATATTAACCAATAAGTCATTGAATTTCAGTAGAATTTTACAATTATTATAATGTACTAGAGTATTAGATAAATGATTACAGGCGGTTTTCATTTGAATTTCGATGAGACTTACCTTGTGCAACACGATTCTCTTCGAGATCGTACCACCTACTGACACTTTGAATGGTCAGAGAGAGAGAGTGAGAGAGAGAGAGAGAGAGAGAGAGAGAGAGAGAGAGAGAGAGGAGAGAAGTTCGCTTGACGATGACGACGAACACGCGCTCAGAATTACGCTACCTTATCGCTGATTGTCTATATCGTGGCGTTTGATAATAGTTATCGAAATCTCCGACGTGCGTTAACCCCTCTCCTCTGCCATTCAGTTTGTTCATTTTCTTGAAATGTAACGTTTTCTTCAAAGAAACATTTAAAGGATATTATATTAACGACCAATTCGAGAGTTCCATAATAATAGATTTGAATCGATCACTGTGATTCGGTTATTCACCGGTATTCTTTTTTCTCCATCTCTCTCTTTACTATTCTTACCACTGTCACTCATCTTTTCATACACTTATCACTTTCGCGTTTGGAAACGTTTTTTTCGAATGTTTAACTTAATATCCGAAATATTGTTTAACATTGTTTTAAACTATTTAACTAAATATCAATAACATAGTCTTATATAATTTATAAATCTTTGTTTAAGTACCAAAATTGTTGTTTCATTTTTTTTTAATTTAAAAATGTTTAACTGCGTAAAGATATTATTGTTCTACGTCGTTTAAAAATATTTCGTTGACTATTAGTAACATAATCTTTAACTGAGAACCGTAATGTCAAATTCTACATAAGTTTTACAATTTTTTGCTGAGTACTTGTAACACAATCTTACTGCATGTTAAAATCGTTAACTGAATACCACTAACGTAGTCCTAGGTCATTTCAATATTTTTAGCTGAGTACTGGTAATGTAATCCTACTCCAATTTACAATCTTTAGTTTTTATCAATATTTTCGACGATTTATTTTTTAAGAAAATGTGAAAGAACTAATAAATAATATCTTTACTGCTATTTTGTAATAAATATATTTTCTTTGACTTTTTACTTCACTGCAAAAAATGAAGATTTAATGTTAAATTTATAATTAATTATTTTCAGTACTGTAAATACTACAATGCATTCAAATACAAACCATCTGTAATTAATTGATAATAACTATTAAATAAATATTTTCTATAAAAATCTTTGTATTAAATAAAAGAAAAAAAAAAATTGTATATGAAAATAAGACTAAATTTTGGATTTTAAACCCCGAACAGAATTTATATAAAATACCCTTAGCATGCAATATGCTAAATAAAAAAAGACAACAGGTAGATTAAATAAGAGTAGATACTTATACTACATACTTGAAGGTAAGTTTTGATTTTAAAGTATCAGTTAAAGAACGCAAGTTCTTCACTCAGTGAAAGCAAAATCTAGACTGATGAAAAAAAAGGGGAGGTTCCTTTAAGTATGCGCATCCGCAACGTGGCACGAGGAGGCAACAAGTGATATATTTCATCTCATTAATAGCATCTTCTATAACCTTCGGAAAGTAATCCTGTGGAAACTAAAAAATTATATTATTTACGAATCTTACAGTATACATATTTTGATCTTTTAATCCTTATTGACAAGCGTATATACGTTAGACAAGGTGCAAAATATAATCGTTTAACGCGTTACAAAAATTTGTCATTTCTAAAAAATTGATTTTATTTAATATTATTTATTTATTCATTCATTTTTAATTCTTTTATTTATTTATTTTGTTACAGTAGGAGGTCGATTAATCAATTAACAGTTATTTGACATCTTAACTCTTACAACTTCTATATAAACGCAATATGTAAAATAATTGAAAATGTTTAAATGTAAAATTAAGGATTGCAAAGAGAAATCGAATTCTTTAACCGAAATCTTGGTTATCAGGAATTTCGGTTATCCATTAAAAAATATTGCAGTCGAGATGTATTCATATTTCTTTCAAATTTTCACTGAATATTATTTTTCTTTCTAGTACCGTTTGCAGTGTCGACTGTTATTGAAATATTCTTTCGAATGCAGAAATGAATTCCAAGAGGCAAAGAGTTGTACTTTCGATAGAACAAAAAGTAGAACCAATAGGAAAAATAAATTCAACCAGCTTCGTATAGCTGTCGACTGTATATAGCTGTCGACTGTATTGTAGAAAAATCTACCATCAGAGAATGGGAAAAGCACTTTGGAAAATGAGAAAAAAAAGTCTTAAGAAAAGTGCTGCGTTTTAAGTCGGGTTCTGCAATACCTAGAGTAACATAACGATATAACAAAAGAAGATTTATTATGGATGAAAAGCTTACATAAGAAAACACTATAAATTGCTAAATTAATAAAGCAATAAAAATGTACATAGATAATAATATAAAAATATATCAATACTATGTTTTATATTACATATCTAATACAATATATGTATAAACATGTATATTTATGCAATTTTATTTTGCATATAAAAAGCATATTTGAACTCGGTATATCTGCGTCGTTTATCCCACAAATCAGCTGGTTAATCAAGATGCTACTGTATTAATTCTAACAAAGCATATCTTTCACAATTGCATACTTATTCTAGTCCAATAACTTGATACTGTATTAAATAATTATTCAAACAATTTATAGGTAAATAATCTGATAACATTTATTATTATACTTACCGTAAAGTTAAATGAAAAAAACAACATTTCATGTAAACATTTTCATTGAAAAACTCAAAACTGCAAATTTTATTACTCGTGATATTTTTAATACTATAAACTTTTATCATTAATACTATCTCATATATCATCTACTGTGTATTTTTTATTGGCTACATTTTTTATATTTATAAATAAATTAAATAAAAGCGTTTCTTTATGCCTTGGCTGTCCTTTACGCGTTATCGAGTCCATACGCAGATGACTGAAACTAAAATGTCTGCTAGAAAGAACAAAGAATTTCTAGGCAAGTAAATATATTTTTTATTCTTTTTTATTTTTTATTAACTCTATATATCTTTACAATTACAAGCAACAATAGACATTTGGTAAATTGTTATATAAGTGAAAAAAGGTAGCACGTGGACGGTTTCTCCAATGAGATATCTTGTCATTTATTTCGGTTAAGTTACATTTTTGACTAAGTCTCCTGGGTGGAAAAGGAAAAAATTTTAAATTTTATTTTTTCATATATATCTTTATTAAAAAATATGTTATTTAAACACTTGGATTTTCAAAAATAAAATAAAAATAAAAATGTATATCTATCTAGTATATTTGTAAATTAGAACGAGCTTTTCGAACAACTTAGTATTTTTACGAATAGTTTGTAATATTATAATCAGTAAATAATTAGTAATGAGTCATTTGTTATTAATTAAAGGCATATCAATGTTTTTAATTGAAAACAGTACTATTTAAATTTTGTATTTTTAATTGTTATTTAGCTTTAGTATCATAAATTTGTATAAATGAACAAATTTCCAAGTTTAATCTTTTATTTTCAAATATACTTTTACGAATATTCTACTGTTTCTTTAATTTTTTGTTTAAATTTTAAAATTCATTTAATTAAGTAATTACTTAACTACATGATTTAAAGTTGATATGTTTGCAGAAGTATCACTTAAATAGCTCTCTCTATCTTCGTTTGAAATCTGTACGATTGTTTTCCTTATTTCTCGTTTTAATTTTTCTTTACTTGATTGGAATTGTAAACAATCCAACTCCAAAGATACGTATTCGCCAAATTGTTCAATGTCATTTGACGTAAATTGATTGATTGTAGAAAATAAATTATAAAAATCGTCTGTAAAATAATACTCCGGCTTTTGCACTGTTGCAAATTTCACTAATTTCCTAAATTTCTGTGAGTCTTCTTCATTCTCCAAAGTAGTATTTTTGTCCAAACTAGTATTTTGGTCCAAACTAGTATTTTTGTCCAAACTAGTATTTATGTCAAAACTAGTATTTTTCTCTTGTGCAGTATTGATATCTATCTGTAAACAATAATTTTGTCATTTTATTAAATTAATTGTTTGGTAACGATCGTTAAAACAAACTATTATGAAAAACAGTCCAAATTTTAACATACAAAAAGCAAACAATTTATTTATAATAACGAAGAGCTCCTATATTCTTAATATATAATATTAAGATACGTATTTTTTGAAAAGTCTGAATTAAACTGACAACTCGGGAATAAATCGACGCAAATAATTAGATATTATATTAAAAAATTATAAATGATATTCCAAAAGTATTACAGCATATTCTAAAATTCGTTACGCAACCAAGTTTCACAAATATTTTCAATTAAATTATTCCGGTAAATAGATGTTATTATGTTATATCTATATATATTTTTTTTTTTTTAATAAATGACGTACATTTTTAAAGAATTATGTAATGATTTATTGTAAAAATCCAGGTAATTACTATTAAAACAACTTAAATATATAGCCGATGAGCTCTATCCTATTAATTTTAGAAGTGTATCTCATTAACGGGAAAGTGTGGCAAACGTAATAAAACCTGATCGGAGATGAAGAAATGTGAAATAAGAAAAATTATTTGTATTCTCTTTGTCCATGTGTAACGTTTTGTTTTCAAGAGATTAGGTCGACATTGAAATTTGAACAAATAAATACGATCTTATAATACGTTATTCCGAACTGCTGCTTTAAATATCGGTACAAAATTTCATTTTTATTATCAGATTTTGTATTGTTTATTTAACTTTGCATCGTTACGTTATAGGGAATTGTGAAAAAGTCCATCACCTAAATTGTCTTCTTTCTAAACCATGTAACATGTAAACATACTCTTCTGAATAATTTGAAAATAATGAAAACGAACTATTACAACCTCTAATTATGTATAATATTTGTGCCACTTACCTCGACACTTTGGTTACCTCTTCTTATCATCATATAAATGATTGCGATAATGGACAATAAATAATTTGTATATGGTAATAATAATTGTACTATTTGAACACCTTCCATGTTTCAACGACGATATGTATGATCAAATAAAAATCTACAGTCAATTATAAATTGAATATAACGCAGTATTAAATTAGAATAAGAGATCTGATATTGAAATATCTCTTGTTGTTAGTTCCAATACTCCCTTTAGACTACATTAATTTACCATCACCCTAGACATTTCATGTACATAAGATAAGATATTTACCAATGAGTCTTTCTTATTTACACGCGTGACATT